ATGAGTAACTGCTGCCCTTTGCAGCTGGGGTGAGATAGGGAGATCCAGTCTAAAAAAAATGGCTGAACATTCTTAATTAAAGACTTTTTCATTTGTATTCCAAACATAAAGAGATGGATGAATTTATCTTCTCACAGTTGAGTAGAGGTCATTTTCACTGATTAACAACTTTGGGAGATTGGAAAAGCTGTCAGTGATCACTGAAACTATAAAATGTCTCTTGATAATCCAAATGAATTATTCAGAGATTTGTCAAGAGCAAAAAATTAAGAGACATAAACAACTCTGGAGCGGGTGGAATTTTTTCAATATGTTTGAGCAGAAACAATTCACCATATAAACTTTTTCAACATTAAGATGAATGATGAATATGACAATGTAAATAGTTTTAATTAATATATTTTTTTTGCTGAATTTTATATTTTCACACAATTTTATTTTTCTAATAAAGGTGATTGGTTAAATATTTTATAACTAAATGTGATCTCCAGTTTATAATTTGTAAGACTTCTCATAGAAATAAATTCACATATTAAAATTGGTATGAGATCATGCCTGCCATTTTTGATTTCAGAAAATATGGTTGCTCTCTGCCTCTCAACCAGAGAGGCAGAGAGCAACCATATTTTCATAATCAAAAATGGCAGCATGACCTCCAGGAACAAGCTCTTTTTTAGAACTATTTTTAACTGTCTGGAGTCATTTTCTTGACTTTGGAGCCTGATGATATTTACTTACTTTGGTAAGTTTTAATGCACAGCTGGGTTGAAAGTTCACCCTTTTGACAGGTGTGTTTCATATCGACATGTACCAGTATTTTGGATGCATCTTGGATGTTGCTGAGTGCATTCACTTCTATTATTTCTTTGTGGTCTAGTGTCTTAGGAGCCTCTGGCATTTAAACTTCAGTTTCCACATTGATGCAATGAAAGGAATAGGAATATTTCTTATTGACCTCAATTCAAACTGTGGAAAATATCAGTGACTTTGGAATTGTTTCTGGATGTAGACATGCCTTTGGAATAGTTAGTCTTCTGGAGGATTAGTGCTGCTGTGTGAGATATTAACTAGAAAAGTTAACCACCTAGACTCTAACCATATTCTCGTGCCATGACTATAATTTAATGTGTAATGTCCAGGTTAAAAAAATAGTTTCCATAAAAATTCTTTCATATGCCATGGTAAATCAAAATATACTTTCTGTGGAATCAGGGGAGAAACTTTCAATAGTTATCAGGCCAAGCCATACTGGGCTAGGCAGTAAAATTCTCTTCCTTTAGTATATGTTTATTAGGATGGGAAAAACTGGTTCCAATAGTCAAGTCACTGAGCATTTATTATGCGCTTACTATGTACCAGGCACTATGCTAAGCACCGTTAGCATTGGGCTCTGCCATCAAATGTAATCCCTTAGATAGGAAGTCTCTTGAGACAGAGGCATCAGAATAAGGCAACCCCACACAAAGTGCATTTTCACCCAGTTACTTTAATTTGCCATGCAAAGACAACAATCACTCATTAATTAAATGATTATTTTCAAAATCCTCACTAGTCAACCAGGAAGCTAAAACAAATCAGTAAACCCATGCTCAGTCTTGTGAGTAGGTTGTATTACTGTCCTCATCTTTGTTTTCAGTAAAGGAAAAAAAGTGGGACGGCTTATGTATGGTTTCATTTTAGGAAAAAGAAGGGAGATAGTTTTTTTTGACATGCATAAGCTTCCCCCCCCCTTTTTAGATGAATATAGAAAGGGAAGATTTCATAGTCTACTCCAGTATATGATAAAATCCTTCCTCACCCCTCTGTTGTAATGCAGGCTCTGGGACACAGTTATTGGGTTCTTAAATGTTTGTGTCATATGGTTGAGTTCATTATATTGCAGGATAGATAGAGAAAAAGAAAGACACAGAGAGAGACATAGAGATAGAGATGGATAGAGAGACATAGAGATAAGAGAAATAGATAGGGAGACACCCACAGAGAGAAATAGAGAGATAGGGAGACAGAGAGAGATAGAAAGATAGATAAGAAGACATAGATTTAGTTTGGGAGAGATAGTGAGCTAGCTAAAGATAAGAAGAGAAAGAGAGAAGGAAAGATGACGAGAGAGAGAAAGAGAAAGAGAGAGCCAGAGAGAGAATGAGAACATTTACTAAGTGTTTACTATGTGCTAAGGGTTATATAAGTAGTAAGGAACAGAACTGCGATTAATGTTAATAATAATGTTAATGTTTGTAATCATAATGTTAATGTTAATAGTAATGTTAACAAAAATGTTAATAAGAAACAGAGCTGGTATTAATCTGATCGGCTCTGTAATATGCTATACTATTGACTCTATAATGTGCTGCCTTTCCGGTGAACAAAAATTAGGCCTTTATCCCTCCTAAAGCAAGAGTTAATTCCAACTGTCAGCCTTTGTTATACTCATTTTCATGACCCCAGTGTCTCTTTGGGTTGGTGCCAAGAACATTGGATTTGTAACCAGAAGACCTAGCTCTGTTACTATGTGTGAGACCTGGGACAAGTCGCCTAACTTTCCTGTGTCTTAGTTTGCCCCTCTCTAAAGAGGAGGATCAGAGTCTAGGGTATCTCTGAACTCTTTTGGCTCTAAATGATTCCTCTACCCACTCTCAGGACTTCTGACCTCAGACTCAACATGTTTAAAATCACCATCACCAAGAGACTCCCTTTCATTGACTTTCCCCTTTCTGACAGAGAAACCACCAGTCTTCCAGCATCCTTGACTTGAAACCTTAAAATCTTAACAATTTTTCCTTAACCCCCACATTTACCCAAATCTCCTCAATCCTCATCATCCCAGTGTGGGTTAGATCTTCCTTTCAATTCCTGTTACTGCCATCTTAGTCCTGCTTCTCATCACTTTCTTCCTGGATGATAGTAGCTTTCTCATTGGTCTCCCTGCCTCAAGATTGAAAATCATCAAAATTGTTCTTACATGCAATTGGGGAAAAAATGAAAAATTATTTTAAAAGATTGGAAATGATATCGGGGTAATTTAGTTCAATCTATGCCAAAGGAAAAAAAAATCTCTACCATAGAGGGGTCTTGGGCTGAAGGGTCACAAAACTCAATAAATAAAGATACAACATAGAGAATGTTAATAAGCGGTTTTCTAAGTCAGTATACAGCTCACAGGCATCTTTTTCTGTTTGAATTTGACACTAGTTCTCTACAACTGAAAAGTCTTCCTCTTTAGCTCCCACCTAAGGACCTTCAGTGGCGAGAAGTCTACTACCTCCAGGGGCAGCTCATTTCGTCTTTATGAGGCTCTGCCTGCAGGTTTCACCTCTACATGAAGTTAAATATCTCTCCATAGCTTCTATACATTACTCTTAGTTTTGCCTTCTGGGGTCAAGAAAAAGACATCTAAGCCCCTTTCTGCATGTCAGCTCTTGGATAGCTCTTATACCTTATCCCTTGCCATCTCTTTTGTCTGGACACACCTTGTTACTTTAATTTATTGTTGTATGGCTTGGTCTCCACCATTTTGGTCATCAGCCCTTGGAGAACATGCTAGTAAGGAACCTTCCTAAAATGCAGCACTTGGAATTGCATGTAATATACACCAGATGTGGTCTTCCTGGGCCGAAGTCCTGTGCAGGACAATCACCAGGCTCATTCTGGATGTCGAGACTTCTTTAATGCAACCAAGAAGACATTAGCTTTCTCTGTTGATTCATCCTGAGTGGGTATGACCCTAAGACTTATAGGTCTTTTTCACATGGACTTTTTGTCTAGTCTTGCCTCTCCCCATCCTTTACTTGTGTAATTGATTCTTTGAATTGAACAAGAGGTGTGCTAGTAAATGTTTTACAACCAGCTCTTCCCAACCCTGCCACATGAATGCAACATCGTTAGCATTTCCTCCATCACTAAGTCTTATAGCAATGATGTCAAACTCAGATAGAAATGGGGGCCAGTAAACTGTACATGAAGATCCCTGCTGACTTCATATTATAAAACCCCGTATTAACTTTATCTGTGGTCTAGTGTATTTTATTTATTTTGTTAAATATTTCAGTTAAATTTTAATCTGTTAATTTTAATCCCTTAAGAGTGTTGTTTGACACCTTTGGTCTAAACAATCAACAAAACACAAATCAAGCAAAACTCAATCAAAAGCTTGGATTGTAGCATTTGCCATTTTCTGAAGTGTAAATGCTCGCAGTGAATATTTAACACTCATCTCTCAGGAATCTGTCTCCTGCACAGCCTTGCTTTAAACCCAAGTAATTGCATAGTAGCCATGGTGATACCAGGCAAAACAAGGTGAATGCTGACCTATCAGAGCCCAGAGTCACAATGGTGGGGAGCCTTGGTTCTAACAAGATTTGGAGATGTCTTGGAAGAGAATCCATATATGATAGATTTCCACCTCAGTGCTCCCCAAATCCCTACACCAATTCCTCACCAGTCAAAGTTCTTCTTTCCACCCTTTTCCTAAAATTTGTCCTCCCCAAATCCTCTTCTTTATCCTTGGTTATCTGCGTAATCCTTCATTCCATCATATTCTTGACCTTATTTTCTTCTGGATTCTCGATCTGCCAAGAGCCCTCATTTTCTTTCCTTAAGAAAAAAAAAACTTGCAAGTCCACAAAGTTTCTTTGTCCCTTCCTATATTCCCTTCCCCAAGGCTCCCTTGCTTTGAAAAGATTATCTGAGTTAAAAAAAAAAAGATGGTTTTATCTCTTGTGATTAGCCAGAAAAGAGGAACAGTAGACTTCATAAAGAAGATAGTTGAGATCTGAGCTTATTTGCATTTCATAAGACTCAAAAGAATTTTTCAAGTTTTTAAAATTAACTTTTAAAAAACCTACCAAAGTAAGTTTCACTGTTGAATATTGTTGAAACAATTACTGGCAGTCCAGGGAGAGAGTATTGGTTTGGGGAAGGAAAAACACCTCATCTGTAAAATAAAAGTGGCTAATGACTTGGCAGTATGCTTCCCATCCAATAATCTTGTGTTTTCCTTTTAGAAATCTCCCAAGCGAACAGACTAGTGTCTGTGCCCCTGAATGTGAAGGAAACTTTGAGGTACTTTAGAGAAACCTTGGGGAAATCTAAGTACCACAACAGGTCGCTGAGACACAGTAGAAAATTGCTCACTTTATTTCTGGCCAACACACAAGGTAAAGTATCCATCAGAGGAATCAGAGAGATTGTCACTGAACCATTAGCTGAGTGTGACCAACACCTTGGTGGTTCCATTGGCCAACTGTCCTCCCCATCTGTCTGTCCCTATCTTGTTCCCCCCCACTTTCCTCTCCCTTCCCAGCTGTCACCTTCTGTATGTCTGTCATCTCTGTATCTTCTCTATCTGTCTACCTTCCCTCTTTCTCTCACCCTCCTTTCTTCTTTCTCTTTCTCTCCCTCCCTCCTCCTTTCTCTCCTCTCCTTCTCTTTTTTCTCTCCTGCCTCCCTCTGTTTCTCTACATATCCTTTCATCTCTCCCTCTTTCTTCTACCTCCTTTCCCTCTTCTCTTTCTCTCTCCCTCCCCCCTTTTTCTGCTTTTCTCTCTCCTCATTCCCTCCCCCCTTTCTTTCTTTCTCCATCCCTATGCGCCTCCTACTGTCTCTTTCCCCCATTGTCTTTCTGACCATTAATCTGCCACTTTTTACCACTCTCTATTTTCAACCATCCATCCATTTGTCCTGTCATTCCTTGCCTGTTCTATTCACCAAACCCTCCACTTTCTTCACCAAACTTTCTCTCCTACATCATATAGCTGAGTGTCTTGCTTAGAGTAGGGCCTCAATCAGTATTCATTGATTAATTTATTGATTGATTCTGTCTGCCTTCTTTGTCACCCTCAGAGCGAGTAATTGAAAATGAAGTTGCCATTGATGAACTGATAACACTCTGAATCAATTATGTCCTTTTTTTTTTTAGCTTCCTAAGGAGTCCAGAGTCAGGAAAATGGTTGTGGTTTAAAGTACGCCTGTTTTAAATTTTTCTACAAGACCTGAAACAATGATTGGGTGATTTCCTTTTCTTCACAGCAAGGGCTTTGCCATCAGTGGTTGTCTTGGATTTAATAGTTCTTTCTTCCTTCCTATAAATGCATAGAACCTCTCAAGCCATAGCAAATTAATGAATGAATGAAAAAATATTCATTAAGTGCTTGCTCCATGCCAAACAGCTGGGATACAAATAGAAAAGCAGTCTATTTCCTGCTCTCAAGGAACTTGCATTCTGATGGGAAAGATAACGAATATAGGAGATTAATTTAGCTGCATGTCGTATGGAAAGGCCCCTATGGTCCCTAGACTGTAGTAGCAAAGCGGATGGCAATGTATCTTCTTCATTTCCATTGATAAAACCATAACGTGTCTGGTGCTGAACCATTCTACGATGCCAAGGACTCAGGTGGTGACAACTTTTTTTTCAGTTCTTCAGTGAGCAGTGGACAGAGCACTGGGAAATTGTTGTTATTGTTCAGTTGTTCAGTTGGGTCCAACTCTTCATGACCCCGTGGGCCGTAGCACAGCAGGCCCTCCTGTCCTCCACTATCTCTCGAAATCCAAGTTGGATGTTCATTGTTTCCATGACACCCTCTATCCTCCTCATCTTCTGCTGTCCCCTTTTCCTTTTGCCTTCAGTCTTTCTCAATATCTGGGTCTTTTCCAACAAATCCTGTTTTCTCATTATGTGGCCAAAGTAGTTAAGCTTCCAGTGAATAACATGAATTAATTTCTTTAAGTATTGACTGATTTATCTCCGTACTGTTTAAGGCACTCTCAAAAGTCTTCTCCAGCACCAGAATTCAAAAGCATCAATTCTACAGCTATAGCTTTCCTTGTAGTCCAACTCTCATAGCCATACATTGCTATTGGAAAAGCCATAGCTTTGACTATACAGACCTTTGTTGGCAAGGTGATGTCTTTGCTTTTTTAGTCTGCTGTCCAGATTTGCCATAGCTTTCCTTCCAAGGAGCAAGTGTCTTTTAATTTCATGGCTGAAGTTGCCGTCTGCAGTGAACTTTGAGTACAAAAATATAAAATCTAACATTGCTTCCATTTCTTTTCTTTCTATTTGCCAGAAATTTGTGGGACTGGTTGCCAAGATCTTAGTTTTTTTTTTAATTTAAAAAAATTTTTTTTATCTTAGCTTTTTTGATGTTAAGCTTTGTCAGCATTTACTCTCTCCTCTTTCACCCTCATCAAGAGGCTTCTTAATTCTTCTTCACTTTCTGCCATCAGAATGGTATTGTCTGAATATCTGAGATTGTTGTTGGGGGTGGAGTTAGGAAGACCTGAGTTCAAAATCCAGGCTCAGATGCTTACTAGCTGTGTGACCTTGGGCAAGTCTCTTAATCTCTTTTTGCTTCAGTTTCCTCATCTGTAAAATGGGGATAATAATAGCACCTACCTCCCAAGGTTGTTGTAAGGATCAAATAAGAAGATATTTGTAAAAAATGGCACATAGTAGGGGCTGTATAAATATTAGCTATTATTATCATTACTATTATTATGAGGATTAAATGAGATAATGATCGTAAAGCACTTAGCGCAGCACCTGGCCCATAGTCAGTACCATATAAATGTTACCTGTTGTTGATGCTGCCACTACTACTATTGCTGTTGCTACTGCTGCTGCTGCTGCTGCTACTTACTACTATTATTATTATCATTCATTGGCTGTAGCTGCTGAAGAGGAGGAAGGGGGAGCACTTTCAGACAGGTGCCAGGTTGCTCCCCTCTGTAAGGGCTGTCTGTGCTGCATTGAAAGCAGAAACAAACGGTTTGGGGGGGCCACTACTGTTTCTTAGGCTCTTGGGCTCCAGACGTGCATCAAATGCAGCTCCACCAAGTTCTGGGGTCTTCCCCGATACGTACTGAAGGGAGATGCGGGGGGCCAGAATTCCCGGATTCTTTCCGGCACTATTGACAACCTGCTCCCAGGTATGATTATGGTTTCATTTGGGGAGCCTGCTTTCTCCGTGACTCCAGATATCAGACCTCAGATCCCAGGCTTACAACAAACACCTGATTTAAATGCCATTTAATTTAAATAAGCATATTATATTATTAAAATGAAGAGACCTGGGTCACTTTCAACTCAACTACAAGTTGAATAGATTTCTTCCGAGCAACTCTTGAAAATAAATAAATTTCCCTTGTGGAGATCAATACATTTCTTCATTAATTTTTAAGTCAGCTGACGGCTTATGAATCTAATAAGGGCAGGAAATTTTATTATCCACCAGATATTTGTTATGACCTTCTGACCCCGTTTGCTCATCTGTAGCCAGTTCCTTAATGACCAACATCGGTCCTTAGTGTGACTGCTCTGGCCTGTGATTTCACGCTATGGATCCATTTGTCCATATGAAATTGACCTCTACGGCTTTTATAGCAAAAATCCCGGGGACTCTTGCAGAGAGGAAATCTCCTCAACTACTGATAAATCTCCAACGCTGTTTTCCATGTCATGGCCATTGTCATAAAGTCAGTGTCCCTTTCTGCAGCATACTTTGTGTGCCTACCTACTGGACACAATAAAAATCATTCATTTTATCTTGTCCTGAACTTTATACCAAGGCAGAAGCTCGAGGCAGTTCTCCAGGTTTTCAGGCCAAAAACCCAAGACAAATGTTGAGTTGATTTGGGAAGAGTTTGGAGTTACTTGGTCAGTTGTCATAGATTTGTTACTGCATTTGTCTCTCGAAAGTGCAGCCTGTTTTTGTAGGTGGCATGGTAAAGAAATTGGAACTGGTTGGTTTCAGTTTTTATATTAGCACAAAGCTAACAGTCATTTCATGAGTCATGTTGCTTAGCACTTTTCCCTCATCTGACCAGTGATTTATTTGGTATAGGGAACTCCTATACCCAATTTAGGTCAGCTCCTTCTCTGCAATTTGTAGGCTCAAGACATTGGCTTAGTGCATTGTGTGGTGACTTGTCCAATGGTCAAACAACCATTTTTTGTCAGAGACAGAACTTGAACCCAGGCCTTTCTGATGCTAAGGTTAGTTTTCTGCCCACCAAGCTTCCCTGCTTCTCATCATGGCCCTTACAGGGCTGTCATTACCAGAATTTCATTCTAATCCCTACAATATCAGAAGGGCTCCCTCAGGTAGACATAGAACCTGATATTCAAGATGGTGGGTCTTCATTCTAAACTTAAACCACAGATTTATAACCACTGATTTTCATGCCTTTCAATGCAAAAAAAAATCTCATCATTAAAAGCAAATTCAACTCACCTTTAGTTCAATTACAGATTAAAAATCATACTTCTTTAAAGTACTTTTTGAAAAAAAAATTAAATTTCCAATATATAGGTACGTAACTTTCTTCACTATTTTTTTTTTGTCTCTTTAGGAGCCGATTTGTGCTCTGAATATTGTTACCAAAACCACTCCAATAATTTAACCTCAAATTTCAGACTTGGGACCTTTCCATTAGCCCATCATAAAATGACCAGAGCACCATATCTAGAATCAGGAGACCAAGGCCTGAATCCAAAGTCTTCTTTTTAGCTGCCTCTATGACCTTGGGCAGATTATTTACCCTTCAGCCTCAGTTTTTTGACTCTCAAGTCAGGGGTAGGGAGACCTGACTGATCTTGGTGGTCCCTTTCAGCTTTCAGTTCTAAATCCTGTGATCACTTTATGAACCTTCATTAACTACTTTCTCAGCTGCTTTTTGCTTATTTCTCTTAAATGACTTTTTTCTTGCTTGTCCCAGTTTTTTTCATGAGAGCTAAATCTCTCCACCTCTTTTTCCAGTCCCTATCTCCACCTCCCTCTATCTATCTTTTATCCCCAGAGCTTCTGCAAGGTATTTCTTGCTCCTTTTTATCTCCACATGTCAAGTCAACAGGCTTTGATTAAGCATTTACTGTGTGTATGGCTCTGTGCTAATAAGCCCTGGGGAATCCAATGGAAGGCAAAAACAAAGAACAAGGTCCTATCTGCTAAGTAGCTCATAGTTTAATGAGGAAGACAGTATGCAAACAGCTATAAACATACAGTATAAATACAGGGTAAATTGGAGATAATCTTACAGGGAAGGTGGGAAGGACTGTGGGGTCTGCCTTAATCTAAAATGCTTGTTGTTCATTTAGAGGATTGGTTTCCTATCAACTGGCTTGAATGAACAAATGGATGAATGAATGAATTAATGAAAAAAACATTTAAGTACCTATATGTACTAAGGTGGCGCAGTGAATAGATCAATGAGCTTAGAATCAGGAAGACTTATCTTCCTGAGTTCAAATCTGGCCTCTGACACTTACTAGCTGTGTGACTCTGGGCAAGTCACTTCACCCTGTTTACTGCCTCAGTTTCCTCATTTGTAAAATGAGCTGGAGAAGGAAATAGCAAACTACTCCAGTATCTTTGTCAAGAAAACCCCAAATGGGGTCGCCATGAGTTGGACTCTACTAGAAAAATGGCAGAACTCAACTGATGTGCAAATCACTGTGTCAAGTCATAGGGATATAAACAGAAAAATTAGCTTGGTGGGAGTTACTCGTAACTTTTACAAGGTTGCTATTGGGAGCTGGTATTGCTTGAAAATGTTTGTAGAACTCTGCTGTTGAGTATTTTGTCTCCTTTCAAACTATCTGAGAGAAAGGATTTAACATTATAGTATATCTAACAAGAAAGCTGCAGATTAATCACCAATGTAAGCAAAAATGTTCTTTTATTCCCCCTCCCCCCTTTTAGAAAGCAGTAGCGGAATAAATAATCCCAAGTTTTTTTATGGAAAAGTGGAATTTAGCCTTGGAGCCGAAGAGATGTATTTGCCAACACCCCCTGATCTTTTCAGTGAAAAGTTCACTATTTCTACTACAGTGGAGAGCAAGAAACTTCCTCCTTCCCAATTTCAACTTGTTATAGCCTCTTACGAGAAAACTATTGGTAAGACTTCACCAAGACACATTTTTTGTTATTGTTTGCTTGTTTGTTATTCAGTTGTTTCATTCATGTCTAACTCTTCATGACCCCATTTGGGGTTTTCTTGGCAAAGATGCTGGAGTGGTTTGCCATTTCCTTCTCCAGCTCAGGAAACTGAGGCAGCAAACAGGGTGAACTGACTTGCCCAGGGTCACCCAGCTAGTGAATATCTGAGACTAGATTTGAACTCAGGTTCAAATTTGGATTTGATTCCAGGGCTGGCATGCTATCTACTGTGCTATCTGGCTGCCCCTAAGACACATTTACTGATTGTCAAATTTCATCTCACCTTGAACCCTTAGCTTTTGAAAGGTATTTTATATACTATGAAATGCCAGTAAATCAAAGCAGTTTGGAAACCTTATGGGTATGTGGGACTGGTTCTTGAATTCATCTGTTGGGAAAACAAATATAATTCCAGATAGTTTTGAAATCTTTATCTAGGCAGCCAGGTGGTGCTATGTTTAGAGTCATTTTTTTTTAATAGGTATTTGGAGGGGTTTGGGGGAGAGCTCAAGCTTTCACTCTGCCATCTTGCTAGGTGGTGCTGTGGATAGAGCACTGGACCTGGAGTCAGGAACACCTGAATTTAAATGTAATCTCAGACACGTAATAACTGTAAGACCTTGGGCAGGTCTTTTGACTCTAGCCTGCCTCACTTTTCTCATCTTTAAAACAGGGATAATAATAGCTCCTACCTCCCAGGGTTGCTGTAGAATAAAATGAGATGATATCTATAAAGTCCTTGGCAAACCTTAAAATGGTATACATATATATGTGTATACATACACATATACATATAGAAATATATATAATATATACATATATGTATATGTGTATACATACACACAGATGTATACACGCACTAGCTATTACTCTTAGCTCTTGTTGGAAGACTGGTTTGCCTCTGTTCTGATGCATTCCTATTAAATATAAGTTTCTTCTTAGCAAAGGAAGCAAATGGGTGTACATTAACCTGCCCTGCATCACCAGGTTGGGTTTAAGCCAATGGTAGTAGAATGGTCCTCTTATATCTCCCTCCCCACATCCTCCATCCCATGTTTAGGGCTTCTAGGAGTTGCTGTTCCATGGGCATACACCTCTAAAGAAGAAACATTTGAGAATTGTAGATGGCAGCCATATATAACTGGCTAGTGACCCCTTGCTTCCCACTCTGCTCTGGGGAACAGTGTCTTTGTCCGTATTATGATGGGCTTTGGTCTTCCTGACCACAGCCAAGTGCTATTCTCTCAATCTAGCTACAAGCCTACATCACAGGAGTAGAGGAATCTGGGAGGTGAGTAGAAGGAAAATTTGGTTTTGTTTTGATTAGCCATGAATAACACCCCCCAAATCAAGAGAAATGGGCCTAAATACTTATCAAGGTCAATTATTTCGTACTAAAGGGATGATGAATCTTCCAGTTGTCACAATAAGTAAAGGAATTTCGAAGACTTTTCAAAAATACTCTTTTGTTTCATTTTTTTTTTTGCTTTTTTTGGTGAGGCGATCGAGGTTAAGTGACTTGCCCAGGGTCACACAGCTAGTAAGTATTAAGTGTCTGAGGCTGGATTTGAATTCAGGTCCTCCTGACTCCAAGGTCAGAGTTCTATTTACTGTGCCACCTAGCTGCCCCTTCAAAAATACTTTTGCATAACAATTTGGAGTCACAGTTATCTTTCAGGCACTGACATCTGTCTTTTGTTTTGAAAAAAACCCCAGATACTCTTGAAATCAACAATCAAACAGATCTCAAGATACAAGCACTGCATGAGCTTGGAAATCTTCACATCTATGCAGAAAACAGAAGGTGAATTTTGAGGAAGGAGAAGAGTTGCTAGAATATAGGAAAACCTGTAAAAAAATTGGCAAATTATTTTAATTAATGTGAACAGTTCTGTTGTTGATGCATTTCCATGATCTTTGTTGATATATTATTACATATTGTGAGCGCCTTCCTTTGGAAACACTCTCTCCCAGCACTGGCATTAGGATGTGGAAGGCACTTGAGAAATGCCTCTGGAGCAACTGATTTTCCCTTTTTCAAATGGGAGTGGAATCATCCTTTTATCCAAATACTCCTTAAGATATTGATTGTATATTATAAATATCAATTATATTAGTAAATATATAAATATTAATAAAATGTCATCAGAATCGGTCCAAACATGTATTTACCTTCTCAATTAAAAGTAGATATGTGATGATGAGAAATGATTCCAGCTCCCTATGTACAGGAAAGTGGTATATTTCTGATTTTTTTTTTTTTAACATTTCAGGGAAGCTTATAAATGCTGGAGCCAAGCCCTTGATGCCATTCTCAAAAAAACAGACGTTCTCCATACGTGGAAAGAACTGGCCAATCCCCCCAAAAAACCTCTTGACATTGTCATGGGTTCATACTTCACTGATTATAGTGAGGAATTTCTGTCAAAAGCTGGCATTTGGGGGTGCTTGCAGGGAGGAGTCATAGCCTCAAAAATGGCGCAGTAAGTAGGCGAAGTAACAACTCTTCATTTTCTATTAAAAACCCAACCAATCAACAACTCAGTTCCTTGTTTCTGTGAAGGTAAATACCTTTGGTGCTAGAGATACTGTCTTGTTTCTTCTCGAAGCATCAGAAGTTCACTCCTTCATGGAAGCATTCAGTCTGCGTGGGTGTCTGGGTAACCATTGATTTTGATGATCGCTTGAGAGAAAGGGAATGTGACCAGAAACCTGAACTCTAGCCAGAAGTCAACCTCGCTCTCCTATCCATTTTGGTTGTGAAGATGCCTGGCCCAGTGTATAGAACCTGGAATCAAGAAGGCCTAAGCTGAAATCCAACCTCAAAAATAGCTGGGTGATGCCAAGCAAATCTGCCTCATCTTCCCTGTTTGTAATATGGGGATAATAAGAACCCCTAATTCCCAGGGTTGTTGTGAGGGTGAAATGAGATACTGTTTGTAAAGTGCTTTGCAAACCTTAAAGCATTACAGAAATATTATCTGTTGTCTATGTTATTGTTTCAAGTATCCACCTACAGAAAACAAGCTAACAGACTTCGGGATGGATAAAAAGAAAATAACTATAAACTAGGAATATTATGATCATCATTATTCTTTTTTTATTTTTTATTTTTTGGCAAGGCAATCGGGGTTAAATGACTTGCCCAGGGTCACACAGCTGATAAGTGTCAAATGTCTGAGGTTGGATTTGGACTCAGGTCCTCCTGACTCCAGGGCCAGTGTTCTGTCCACTGCACCACCTGGCTGCCCCTGCCCAATCATCATTCTTAAGAAATGGATAAATCTCACCCACTGAAGGCATGGGATGGCAGCAGGTACTTCAGCAAGAGGTGTATCATTCATTTGTTTCGTGGAATTGGGCACGGTTCAAACAGTCAAACAAGTCAGGGGCTTGAGATGGAGTGATTCGGCCTACTTATCCAGAATATAACTATATCTAGAAATGGCTAATTCTACTTTCTGATGATCATAATGTAGTACCAATGCCTAAAACAGGGAATGTTTCATAAATATTGACTTTAATTTGGTTGTTTAAAAAAACACCTCAAAACTGAACAGTTGTTTGAGCAGAATGGAACCTGAGTTTCAGTCCTGCCTCTGATACTTACTACCTGTTTGATTTTAGGGATGGTACGTCCCCTGTGCCTCAGTGTCCTCCTCTGTAAAGTGAAAGTGTTGGAGTCTGTGGTGCCTTCTAGCTCAAAATCAGTGAACCTATATGGATGGAGAGTGTCCTAGGGCCTGCATTCAAATTCTGGCTTTGCCACTTCTACTCAGGTGTCCTTGGACATACAACCTCTCTGAGGCCCTGCTCAGCTCTAAATCTGTGGCCTCTGTGAACTCTCTGGGTGTCAGTTTCCTCATCTATAGGATGAGGGTTGGAACTGGATGGCTAGTGATGGATAGTGATAGGCGCCTCTGCTGCAGAATTTCCCGTCATCTTTTTATATAGCTTTAGCTTCTTGGAGGAACAGAAGATGAAAGAAGGCTGCCTCTGTGACCTAAGGGTAAAGTGGTGACATAGATCCATAATATCCCGAGCCCAGAGAGAGATTGCGAAGAAAATTTATGGAGGTGCAAATCAGGATTCTGCCTTGGCCTTTTGTCACCCACGTAGTCTGTTTACTCATCTATAATAAGTGGCACTTTAATGTATTCAGAAAATTCGTGAATTATTGTTGGCAAAAGAATCAGATTAAAAATGTAATGTAATTTGCTGCATTATTATTTATTGGGAGCCTGATTTGGTTTATTTATTTATTTATGTTTGCTCTTCTAATAAAAGGCCTTTCGTGAGTTATGTGGGAGAGTCCGAGAGGAGAAGGAGTAGGTAAACAGGCTGTGGTGTGGACTTTGACTACGGTGTACACCAGTTGGCTTCCTGGCCTCACACAGGCCTGCTTGGATGCAGGCAAGAGAAAGGGGCAGGAAGGCAGATGGGGCAATAGGTCAGCTATAGCAGTAAGCCAGCTTTCTGCCTCCAGCCAGTGCTCCACCTCTTGATTGATAAATACTTTACTTCCCTTCCTCCTTCCCTCCCTTCCTTCCTTCTTCGCCTTTTCTCTGGTTCCTCCTCCTCTTCTCTAATCTTTAGGGTGAATTTTTCCACTGTTAACTCTTTGACCATCATCTCTCTTATGTCTCTATACTCTATGACTGGGAAATAGTTTTACTCCCATGGCTTTTACTCTTCTCTGCAGATGACTCCCAAATCTCTCTTCAGAGCTCTGAAGGATCATTTCCCACCTGTTCCCAGCCTTCTTTGTTGGGATGCCTCACTGGTGCCTTAAACACAGAGTGTCCAAAATGGAGCTTTCCCCCTAAACCTGCCCTTCTTCTCCCCATCACGACTCCTGCCAGTACCTCTCACTCTCTCTGTCTCTCTCTGTCTCTGTCTCTCTGTCTCTCAATCCCTCTGTCTATCTCTTTGTCTCTCTCTGCCTCTCTGTTTCTATCTCTTTGTTTCTCTATGTCTGTCTGTCTGTCTGTCTCCCCTCTCTCATGTCATAGCAGTTCCAGAGTCCTCTTTTCTATTCTCACTATTACTACAAGACCTCATCACTCCCAGCCGTGGTTATCCTACCTTCACCCTGCTCCTCCCACCCCACCCTATGCCCTTCTAATCTTTCCTTCATTCCAGTGGCAGAAAAATATTCTTATGCATACATCTATCTGCTCATGTTACTACTCTGCTCAAAATTCTTCAGTGGCTCCCTGTTGCCTCCTACGTAGAGTTAAAACTTCCGCGAGACACAACTGAAATGACTAAACAACAACAACTACTTCCCAGGGTTGTTATGAGAATCAATGATATACTATTTGTAAAATTAAAACGTACTTAACACAGTGCCTGGCACATAGTAGGTGCTTAACAAATGATCTTTTCCTTCCCCTCCCCAGTATCAAAGTAGGGAAGGGAAGAAAACTCCTCTCTTCCATAGAAGAAGGGCAAATAATCTCACCTTTTGAGTTCTTTGGGAATAAACAGAGCATAGCAATTTGTTAGTCAATAAAACTAGTTCATTTCATCCGTCAGAAACTTAGTAAAATACTTAGTGTATTCAAAGACTACTGTAATTACATTTATTGTTGTTGATTTGTTTCAGTTGTGTCCTACTCTTCATGACCCAATTTTGGGGTCAATTTCTTGACAGAGATACTGGACCGGTTTTCCATTTCCTTCTCCAGCTCATTTTACAGATGAGGAAACTGAGGCAAACAGCTAAGTGACTTGCCTAGGGTCACACAGCTAGTCAGTGTCTGAGGCTGGATTTGAAAGATGAGTCTTCCTGATTCCAAGCCCAGTGCTCTATCCACTGTGACACCTAGTTGTCCTCTGTAATTAGATAGTCTTTTCAAAATATTTTTGAAAAATTGCTTGCCAATCAAATAATTTCTCTTTGTTGGAATTTTTTTTCAGATATATTTTGACATCAAATGTGAGTGAGCGAACTGAATGCTGCATTTTCTCTTCCTATTTTTTTAAGGTAACTGTTTATAATTTTATATAATAACACAGCAGATTAATTACTTAACAAATCCTGTTGCCTACAAATTGTAGGCGAGAGGAGGGAGGAAGCTATGATTAGAAATACAGTTATCCTTCCACATTGCAGGGTTAGTGCCCCCTCAATCTGGAAAATCTGCGTAAAATGTTTTGGCCCATCCTTTGCACCAGAGAGGAAGTCTGATTTTTTTCTTTTTCTTTATGGGGCATTTATGGTACCTTCTTGTAAAATTTGAGTTAAGTATTTGGTCATAGGCTCTGTGTCCTCTGTTGACCTTCACTTGTCCTCTCTGGCTTCTGCAAAACTCCCCCCAAATTCTCATTTAATCTCTTATGCTGCCCTGTGATAGGTAGTGAAACCACAATGGGGAAAGTCACAGTGTGGAAGGGATTAACTGTAAGGAGCCTGTATTCACTCTGCTGGCTGACCCTTCTGTTTGGCTCCTTTTGGACTTACCGTCAGCATCTCCATCAATATCAAGAAACCTGAGAAAGTCAAAGGGATTCAATTGTGACTCCTAAGGAGGGACTCACTGATAGGGTGAATGACTCTTTTGCCATTACAGATGAGGAAACTGAGGCAAACAGGGTTAAGTGACTTGCTCAGGGTCATGCAGCTAGTATCTGAGGTTACATTTGAACTCAGATCTTCCTGACTCCAGGCCCCATGTTCTATTCACTAAGCCACCTAGCTGCTCTTAAGAATGCAGAGAAAACATTAAATAGGTATGAAGAGAGGCTTCCATAAATGTCTTGCTTGCATGGAGGTGATGCTGGGCTCTTGAAGGCTTTGCCAGCTAAGTGAGCACACAGGCTAATTCTACTAATTTGGAAAGTCTTTAGAAGTGGGCCTAGTGGCAAGTAGTAGGGCTGGTATCCAGGGGCCGGCCTGGCTAAGTGTGAAAAGGCTCATTACTAGGAAGTTGGCTACTAAGTGATGACTTTTAGGGCCTTAGGGGCCTATGAAATAGATGAGAATACGACCTTTAGTCCTGACCAAACTTGTGTGCTCTTACTGTGTGTCTATCATATAGCATATAATAAGTGCTTAATTAATGCTTGTTGACTATTAGTAAGGCAAAGCAGAAAGTTAAGTTCTGTGGTAGATGTGAGTTTGCTCAATGATTTTTCTGATGATGAACCACCATTATAAATGGTGTAATGCTATGGTGGGAATGGAGGGGTGAGACAGTTGTGTAAAGAGACTTATTGCTGTTTCAGTCCCCCAAAATCACCAAATGAGCCTGAGAGAGGTCTCCATCATGTTGAGCACAGTTGAGCACCTCCATCATTGGTCTTCTCTGGAGGATCCATGAAAAGGGATGGACGGGGATCACACAGGAGGAAAAGACATGGAGGGATTATAATCTGTGTCAGAAGAGCAAGTAACCACACTGTTGCAATCACCACCCCACATAAGTATCAAAGGGAAAATAGGAAGAAATGTAGTTGAAAGAGGCCTCAACTGGGCCTTTGGAGACCTGAGGTCTGTCTTGACTCTTCAATGTTCCCTTGGGGCCTTGAGTTTTCTCATTTACAAAATGGAAGGTTTAGGTTTAGATAACCTCTCTATGAACCTTCTAGCCCAAAAGTCCATGTTCAGATACTAACGAATATCTTTGAACTTTGACTGGTGCTCAAAGGACGGCTGTGTCTATTGCTAGACCTAAAGAGGTTTCAGAGTGGCCCTCCACTGGTGAGTTCAGGGCCAGATCCCTTCCTGCCACAGTGAGGTATTAGACATCCTTATCTTAATGGCAGGTGTGTTTCAATAAGGTCAAGATTTTTATTTATTTATTTTTTCTTTTTTTGTTTGTTTTTTTGCTAGGCAGTGGGGTTAAGTGACTTACCCAGGGTCACACAGCTAGTGAGTGCTATGTGTCTGAGGCCAGATTTGAACTCAGGTCCTCCTGACTCCGGGGCCAGTGCTCTATCTATTGCTCCACCTAGCTGCCCCAAGATTTTTATTTTTAATGTGCAGAAGAAAACAAAAAAGGCAACAAGGAATGCTTAACAGATATAGCAATTTGATTATTTAACACACACACACTTTTCTGAATAATATTTTATTTTTTCCCAGTTACATGTAAACACAATTTTTAACATTCATTTTTTAAAAATTTGAGTTCCGAAATCTCTCTGTCCATCTTTTCCCTCTCCCTTCCCTGAGATGGTAAGTAACTTGATTAGATTATTCACACATATATCTACTTAAAAATAAACCCTATAGAATGGAAGATCAAATTTATTCTGTAGTCTTTTGAAAAATTATTTGTTTATTGAAATGTTGGAGTTTGATCATTTTTAAGTTCACAATAAAAAAGAAAATTAATTTTTTTAAAAGAATAGGGAAAACGTTTTTTTTTCCTCCTCTTGAAAAATTAGAACTAGGGTTACACTGAGATTAGCAGGCTAAATATTCCCCCTCAAAGGCATAAAATGATAGGAAACAGGTTGTCACTTTAAATTACTGTAAATTAAGTTGGGAAGTAGGATTTGAAAGAACAGGTTGAAACCCTTTGAAAATTAATCGAGGAGGGGACAAAGGCTGTCAAAAAAATCTTAGTGCAATTTGAAACTTAAGACCTTTGGGAAACCTTGTATAAGATGCATGGGGCAATTTGCCTATTTAGAGAGGAAGACTTTGCTCAGGGAACCCTGGGAATTATATACTAAATGTTGGAGCTCTTTGATAGAATCTCAGTGTTAAAAGGGGTATCAGCAGAGCTCCTTGGGCATCCATACTGGTCTCTTCAGACAGTTTCCCTTTCCTTTTTTCTGGTCCTGATCAGGATTATTTGTGTTCACGTTGTCTACGTGTCATTCCTGACTGCATACTGTAGTCCTTGGGCCAATTGCTTCAGTAGCCATGGGATCTGGGCAGCTGCATCTCCAAAAATAAAGTTGGACTGTCTCAGTGACCTGGGGTACCTCATAGAAGGGAAAGAAGAAACCAGTTGGGCTATCCCTGAGTGGAATTCTTTTCCCTTCTCAGGTTTTTGACTCCTTGATTCGCTGATAAATAGGCTTTTATCTGAATTAGAAAAAAAGGGTTTTTGTTTGGTTTTGTTTTTGTACCTAGAAATGTAGCCACGAGCCTTTGCTTTGTTCACTTTGAAGGATGAACCTTCTTGCTCGATGAATCAGAAGAGGCTCACTGTATGAAGCCTTGACGAGGCGTTTCTGAGCGCAAGGCCAGACGGTTGAGCCTCCAGTGTGTCACAGCCTCCTACAAAGGCTCCAGAAGAGGCTGCGCCAGGAATGAGAAGCTTCCCTGGACTCCTCACTTGCTTGAGCTGCTCTTCTCATGCTTTTTTCTCTTTCACCTTCCTTGTTTCTTGAGCGCAGGGCGTTTGATCTTGGATATGGAATTACTCCTTTTAGAAAAATGATAAAATTTGATTTACAATAGTTTCACTGATGTACTTTGATAGCTGTTTAAGTTTCTCTTTTCTTTTTCTTTTTTTTTTTCTTTCCAGGCTCTATTTAGAATGTCTCTGATACATCCCAGACATGACCATGAGTATGCCCAGTATGAAATTGGCCAGCTTACTCCAGGCCTGGATCTCTTCTGTGACCGACACAGAGCGGATGTGACCGTTGTCCTCGGCAGTCTCATTTACCTGATTTATGAGCTCCATTCTGTTAAACATAATCTTATTGTAAGTCAAGTATAAAATTTTAAAACAACAACGTATTACTCTTCTCACTCATTTATCTGTCTCTCCTATAACCTTATTGGAATTCCTTTTGGCCAAGTGTGGCCTTTGAGGATTATGAAAAGGAGATCCTCATGTGCCCTTTTAAGTTGGTTTATATTTAAAGGTATTAATATTCTTGCATGAAGTTACCTCCGATATTCTCACTGAATACAAAATGGCTTTGCCAGCTTGCTTTGATCTGGTTTTCCCTGCTGTCCTAATGTCAGTCCTTCTGTGATTAAGGTCACATCGCAGAGCTCCATGCCTGGGGTGGGGCACAGGCCCCCCACCCTTCTTATTTCTTTGGCATCAATGGCCTATCCAGGTTTACGCGAACTTGGCAGGGGGAGCTGAGCACCTTAGTTCCATCGTTTGCATCAGTTCCACCACCTAACGAGCACCCAAGTGGGCTAGGGACAGCTGACTGCGAAACATAACGAGAACATTCATTTGAGTTCTGGAGAGACCTGCAGCAAAGTCACAACTCATGTGGTTGTGTGTGTTGGGGGAGGGGGCAGGAAAAGACAAACGAAAGCTCGGTCCAAGTCTTTTGGTGCTCTCAAGGAACATTAGACATCTCAAGGCCTCAGCTGAGGGTGGACGATGCAAATGTGCTTCCTTATTCTCTTCCTGCAGAGTAAACACAAAGGGGGTGTTTCAGAAAGCTCTTCCCCCCTTTTTGGTTACTATCAGCATTGTTTGTGCTTGTGCTGGTACGATCCCCTCCTTTACTGCATCCCATAGTACCCTAGTAGTAATCTTTGCCGACCGACTCGTACATCTTCTTCCTTTTCCCTGTTTTGGCTTTCCTAGTTTGATTCTTTCCTTATCTTTTTATTGCTCTGGCTTTCATGACCACTTTCTCCTAGATCTTCACCTTTGACTACTACAGTCTTCTACTGGGTTCAAATCCCACCTCAGACACTTAATAGCTGTCTAATCCTGGACAAATCACTTCACTCTAGTCTACCTTAGTTTCCTTACCTGTAGAAATGGGGACAATAAGAGACCCTATCTCCCAGGGTTGTTGTGATGATGAAATGAGATACTACTTGTAAAGAGTTCAGCAAACTTTAAGGCTGTGTTTAAATGCTGGTTATTATTGCTGATTCTACAGTGGCCCTGTGGTGCCTTCTGACTCATACCCCTTTTCAAGCCCCGGGTCCCAGTGATATAATGACAGCACAGACATAGTGATTAGATTAAATTAGATAAAGACACATTGAATGGCTAAGTCATTTCTGACATCAAAACAGAAAAAAAGTATCAGGACTTTTCCTGTTTGTTCCATTGGGAGCTCTTAGCAGAAAGTAATCTCTATCACCATCATCATCATCATCATCATTATCATTATCATTATCAGTAATAACAACAATAATTTTCTTTGCTCCACTGTTTCAGGATGTACTTTTTCTTGGCTGTCTAGATTTCTTTGCTTCTTTCTGGACATGACTATTCCCTGGCTGCATTTTTTTCAACTGGACTCCTTTTGGTTATCAGTGCATGTTCATTTTGAAGATTTTTTTTTTACTCATTTCAAAAGCAAAGCTGACGCTTTTCTTAGATGCATGAGAAATTGAGAGGGCTGCCTCAAAATGGATCTTGGAGAGAAAAAAAAAACATTTTTATTTCTTCCTGATGGTTACCATGGAGAAGTGGTGCCATTGTCCACAATTATTTCAAAACTGATATTACCTTAGGCTCCAAATAAGTTCCTGATCATCCAGAGGGAGTTTTTAGTTTCTTTAAAAATAAAACAAAACAAAACAACAAAACAGTTGTTGTCAGCAGCAGAGAGGCAGCTGTTGCCAAAGATCCATGAAGCCAAATTATGGGACCATAGATTTAAAGGGCCAGGGATTCCAGAGACTCCCAGTCCAGCGTTGAGACCCAGAGACTTTATATGGCTTACTCAGGGAAACACAAGTAATAGGTAACAGAGTCCGAATTTGAACCCAGACCCATTCTCTCCAAATCCAGTCTTCTTTCTACTGTTCCATACTATGCTTTGCTGTGACAATTTTTGTTTGTTTGTTCGTTTTTGGGGGGAGGCACTTGGGGTTAAGTGACTTGCCCAGGGTCACAGCAAGTGTCCGAGACTGGATTTCAGCTCAGGTCCACCTGACTTCAGAGCCAGCGCTCTAACACTGTGCCACCTAGCTGCCCCTTATGATAATTTTATTTTTTTAAGTATCCTGAGGAAGAAGAAACAAAGAAAGCTAGATGATTCTCATCCTAGGTCAGCAGCCCCAGAGCTAACAGCCGTGGAAAGATCAAAGACCTATGTTTCCATCTAATACTCATATTTTTTTACTTCGGGTAAGACCCAGGCCATAGAACCAGGGCCAAAAGGAGGCTGACAGAGACATCACACCCCACTATGGAGTTGTGGTTTTGAGGCAAAATCAAAGGGAAAAGATGCTGCCCTCTCAACATTTGTTTCTGGCATGACCAGCCTCAAATTTCTTTCCTCTGTTCCTCAGAGCTCAAAGGTCGGGACCTTAGAGGTCATTTAGGCCAAACCCCTTGTTCAGATGCCGACCTTGATACTCCAAGACCTGTAACAATTTAAATTCTCATTTCAAGTTATCTCCTTTCCTGTGCCCTTTAGATCAGGGATATATATCACTGAAGTAGACGGTGAAGCTTAAATCATGACTTCATTTTGTTTAGAAAAAGCAAATCTCTGCACTTCCTCTTTTCACTTCCTCAGAGCCTTGGGGTAATGAGTTATGATGTATTTTAGCTATCCAAGAGGAAACCTGTGCTGTGTAGTGTGGACTCTTTGGAAGGGCGGGCATACCTTTCTACAGGTCTTGATAGGGTTACCCAGTGTGTGCTTTGGTGATTCAATCTATTTCAGAAATGGCAGACATCACACTTACCAAAGAGGGAAGGTTAATTGCTACTCACTATTTCAGTATTAGTATTTTCCTTAAGGGGGAGGCTGTCTCTCAGATATTTATGAATGTGTGTCTGAAATACCATTTTTTCCCCTTTTCTGTAGATTCTGCCTCTCCTTTCATTACACCAATATTTTGTCTCAGAAGTTTGCCAAGATTTGTGTAAATGCATAGATGCAAAGATCCTTAAGGTAATGACACATTGGCTTTTTAATACATTAAGTAGATTTTATGTTGTTTTTTTTTAGTAACAAATGTGTTGCCCATTTTAGGTTATTGCATAAATCAATTTAATTTAACAGTCCAAAGTGACCCAACCATATTGGAGAGCAGTCTGGAATTGTGCCCAAAGAGCTGTAAAACTGTATATACCCTTTAACCTAGCTATACCAGTATTAGGTCTATTTTTCAAAGTGATCAGGCAAAACCGAAAAGAACCTATATGTTCTAAAATATTTGTAACAGCTCTCTTGATGGTGGTAAAGAACTGAAACTGAGGGGATGCCCATCAATTAGGGAATCGCTAAACAAGTTGTGGTATATGATTATGATGGAATACTACTGTGCTCTAAGAAATGATGAGTAGGTTGATTTTAGAAGAACATGGAAAAACTTGCATGAAATAATGAAGAATGAAATGAGCAGAACCAAAAGAACATTGTTTACAGTAACAGCAATATTGTTTGAAGAATAACTGTGAACGACTAAGCTATTCTGAGCATTATAAATATTCAAATCAACTACAAAGGACCTATGAAGGAAGATGCTATCCAACTCCAGAGGAAGAAATGATGAATAGAAGTATGCCCAGTATGGTTTTACATATTCATATATCTTGTCTAATAGCAGCTGTCTCTAGTGCAGGGTGGTGAGGGAGGAAGCGTGGGAGACAGCTTAGAACTCACAATGTAACAAAAAAAATTAAATTAAAAAAATTTTTAACACTCCTTGATATGTAATTTAAAGAGGACTAAAATTAAATTTCACATTATTTTAACTAAAGAATAGGCAAATATTGCTAGACAACATTCATATAGCTCCTTAGGGTTTATGAATCTCTACATAATAACAAGACAGCAAGGTGGCTCAGTGGATACAGTACTGATCCTGGAGTCAGGAAGACCTGAGTTCAAATGTGACCTCAGACATTTACTAGCTGTGTGACTCTGGGCAAGTCACTTCACCCTGTTTGCCTCAGTTTCTTCATCTGTAAAATGAGCTGGAGAAGGAAACGGCAAACCATCCAGGATCTTTGCCAGGAAAACCCCAAATGGGGTCACGGAGACAACTGAAAACTACTAACCAACAGTAACAACAACAACATAATAATAGTCAATAATAATAATAGCATTTATATAGCACTTTAAGGTGTCATTTGAAATTGATGGTGAAGCTTTAATAATGACTTAGTTTTGTTTACAAAAAGCAAATCTCTGGACTTCCTGACTTCAGACCCTCTGCAAATATTATTCTATTTTATCCACACAACAACCTGGAGAGGTAGGTGCTATTAAAATCCCCATTTTACGGATGAAGGAACAGAGACAAGCAAAAAGTTAAGTAACCAGTCCAGGATCACGTAACTAGGAAGTGTCTGAGGTCAGATTTGAACTTGAATCTTCCTGACTCCAGATCCATTACACTACTTAAATGCTTCATACATCATTTTGTTTGATCCTTACAACAACTCTTTTAAGTGGGTTCTGTAATTATAACAGATACTAATTTTTAACATTTTAACAAATGACAAAACAGGCTAAAAAAAAGTTACATGACTTACTCTGAGTCACAGAGAGAGTAAGTATTTGAGATTTAGACTCATATTTTCCCAGTTTAAATTCCAGTCGTCAGTCCTCAATGCTATGCTGCTAGCTTGAAAAGGGCTAGATGATGTCACGTTTTATGTATCTATATAATTCAAATGAAGCATGGAATTGAGGTACCTTATTTGAATGGTTTAATCCTAGACATATATTTTCTTTTTTTATTTGTAATTTTTTTGGTTTTAAACTTAAATACAAAATGAGAAAAAAAAACAAACTTAAATACTAAAAGTAAAATAATACAAAATCATTTATTTTCTTGGTAGCATTAGTAGGCTTTGAATTATATGAGCTTCCTACAATAATCAAATTTTTAGATGATTCTTTTAAAAAATTTTTTATTTATTTCATTAGCTATTGCCCAATTATGTTAAAATTTTTTAACATTAATTTTAAAAAATTTTGAGTTCAAAATTCTGTCCCTCTCTCCCATCCCTTCCCCACCCTGTGATAGGGCAAGCACTATGATATTGATTATGCTTGTGAAATCATGCTAAATTAATTTCCATATTAGCCATGTTGCAAAAGAAAACATGCATTAGAAAACCCCAAGAAACATGAAAAAAGTGGAAACAATATGCTTCAGTCCATTGGTTCTCTCTCTGGAGGTGGATGGCATTTTTCATTATGGCTTCTTTGGAATTATCTTGGATTGTTGTCCTGATCAAAGTTCCACAGTTGATCATTAGAAGAGTCTTCTTCTGGGTCAACTTTCTCTTCCTCCTCAGTCATTTATTTTGTAAGCACTCTGTGAGAGACCCCTTGATAGGGTACTCAGGTTACAAAGAAGTGTCAGATATGGCTTCCAGTGTTGAAAAGTGGTAGGACAAATATATAGGATAAATTACAATGCATGGTAGCAGAAGAGGTGCCCCATTGGCATTACAGGGAGTAAGCCTTTCTGTATGACACATAGGTATTGATAGTAATGATGATATGACCTCCTATTCATGATTTTCAGAGTACTCCTACTTGATCCTTCTTTTCTTTTGTTTAAAGATAGAAATCCTTATTGACTTAGGACTCCTTTCTGAAGCTTATAGTGAAATAGCCAATCTTTGCCCTGGAAAAGGCATCCCCACTATCACCTCTTCAGGCTCCAAAATTTTCTTGAAACCTAAGGTAAGTCTGCAAGGCTAAGTCAAAGCCATATTTTTGCCTTTAAAGCCTTTTCTTCTAAAATCTAAGGAAAGTCATCATCAAGTTGTCTTTATGACTCTAAAGGATCGGTAGACCTTTTACAAGATGGGGATTGGGGAACAACACTAACATCCCACTTATATTGGGCATTAGAGCATCCTGTCCAGGTCGTAGTGTTATTTGGGTGATATGATTTGACCCACAGTGGCTTTGTAGACTCTCAGAGTTCTAGCATACTCCTATGTACTGGCAGCCCAGCCGCTGGAAATAGAGTATGTCGTTGACTTCATCAAGGCAACAGCAACCTCTGGCTGACTGACTGACTGCTTCAAAAACAAAGAATTAGAAAAACAGGGTGGGGAAAGCAGTGCTTAAGAGCCACATGTGGAACACTTAAAGTCATCAATAATTCAGTTTTCATCAGTTTGACTTATTTGAAGAATATTAATCATGGTTTATTATAGCTTCCTGTGTTCCACCTGGACCAAGTTTGTGTGCTTATTCTGATTGCTTACATAATTATCAATTATTCTACAAGGTCCTACTGCTACAATGCCTCATTGAAACATGGTGTGTAGCCTGGGTTCTTATGGTGGTACCAATGGAACACAAATTCTGATGGGTCCCACCTTGCTGGAAAGGCTTTCGGGACAGCCTTGGTGATGATGATGTCAATTAACTGGTCTAAAGATCAACTCGATGACCACAGATATGCTCATCACCATTGGGTTGGCCCAAGGTTATGAATTCTTTAGCCACTGACATCTGTGAACCCAAGAAAAGTAGCCCTCTTCAGTCCTCTCCATCCACTTTTCCCTTACAAAATGCTGATAGTGATGTGACTGAGGGAGCTAAGAATCCCATCTGTAGGTCCTTTAAATGCAAGTTCTTTGTCCAGAGACCAGCAAAGGATAGGGGGAAGGAGTAGACCTATGAGGTCATTGATATGGGGAATTCCCACCAATGCAGGTTGGCATCTTCTCTGCAATTTAGTTTGAGAGAGGTGCTTAGAGTTACTTGACTTCGTCAAGGTCACGTAGCCAGTATATGTCAGATGTGGGACTTCACCCTGGGTCTTCCTGACTCTTAAGATAACTCTGTCCACTACACCATGCTGCTTATCAGCAGTGACTCATCTTTTTAGGTTTAAATATCCTTGGCACGTGTAGCATAGGGTCAGTGAAGTAGTACAGCGGATTGGGCCTTTGGCCTGTTTTCAGGAAGTGGCTGGTGGGGAAGTGTAGACAGTGTAGACAAAAGAGATGTTGATTTTTCTTTGGATAAGTGTGCATTGATAGTTTTTGATTTTTTATCATCCTCATTTCCAAATGAATCCCACTTCCCCTCTCAGAGAGTCATCCTTTGTAACACAGAGTGAAAAAAAGAGGGACAAAATCATTTAGCAAAAACAAATCCCCCCAAAACGGATGGATATAGCAAAAAAAGCCCAACGTTACATGTGGTGTTCCATATTCATAGTTTCCCACCTCTTCAAAGAAGCAAGGGAAGTCCATTCTCATATCTCTTCTTTGATGCTAAGCTTAGTCATTCCAATTTCACAACATTGAGTTTTGATTGTTTTGTGGTTGTCTTTCTTTCCATTTACATGGTTGTAGTCACTGTGTGTAGTGTTTTCCTGGTTCTTCTTACTTCACTTCCAATCAGTTCATTTAAGTTTTCCTATGCTTCTCTGTACTCAGCATATTCATGGTAGCACAGTACTATTCTTGTTACCACAATTTAGAGGAAATGTTTAAAATGAAATTAAATCAAATTCCTAGTTGCCTTGCTATTGTGTATTATATTTATTATAACAACGATGAGATGTTTCATTAAGAATATTTACCTAGGTTTGGGGAATGTTAGTATTCCTCTTTTAGAGAGAGTGACCTTAATCAAAAATTAATCTCTCCTAATTTCTTGTTTTAGTTGTTTTGACCTATACCACTAAAGAGTAAGAAATGTGTGTTCCTTTCTCATCCCTAATTTCTTCATTTTCTGTAAGGAAAGAAAACATTTCCTCCTACTTTTTCCAATTTATTTTAAATTTTATGTCCATTCAGAGATAATTTTACCTAGCTTTCCTTATTTTGTTCTCAGGAATTGAATTGAGTGCCTAAAGTGGCCCCAGAAATGAAGAATGGTCCTTGTACCTAGGTCTAAATTAAATCAAAGTAGAGCTCAAAGAAAATTAATGTATCCTGCCTCTTTGCATTTTCTTTTGCTTTGATTTTCACAATAATCTGGACTCCTGGCTGCTTTTGCCATAAGTAAATTTGTGTTTTATTTCATTGCTCAGTGCTTTGGGAAACAGCTGAAAGAGTGTAGTCTGCTAGAATGATGAGCTGGGGGTGGGGTAGGGAATCACAGTAAGAAATGAAAATATGAGTGGGATCAATGCACATTTGTAGTTGAGTTGTGATGGAAAGAGCCCTGGAACCGAAGTCAGAAGGTCTGGGCTCCCATCCAGACACTACCACTCAGTAGTTGTGTGACCTGGTCAAATCACTTCACTTCTCTGAGACTCAGTTTCCTCGTCTGTAAAATGAGGCTAATAAAACTTACAATACACATCTCATAGGGTTGAGGTTTTAAACTTTAAAACCCTAAATAAACATTAGCTATTATGATTTTTATTATTATTTACAGAGCCTTTTTACATATCATCTTGGAATGTACTAATTATTTGAATGCTTTTGGTTTATTCTCCAAACCTTATATGATCCTAGTGTTATTACTGTACTGAAGCCATTCTCCCAGAGAGAATTAACTGCTTATTTCCCGATGGCTGAACCTAAAGTTTCCTCTTACATTTTTGTTTAGTCTCCAGCATCTGATTTCTGTGCCATGGCTAAATGTGATGTCTTAAATGCTATAAAGTCTTGGTTTTCCTCTTGCTGCTCTAATTACTGCTTTGGACTGCCCTTCCCTTTGGACTGCCCTTCCTCCATGACAAAAGACACATCCCCTAATATTCGTTCAGTCTTCAGTCTCCTCGCTTCACATCTGATCCTTCACTGAGCTCACCATTCTCAGAGATCAAAAGCTGTATTTCATACTTGAAGATGATGCATTGACCCAACGTCAAAACTAGTAATAAGTAGTATTTTTAAGGTTTGCAAAGCACTTTGTAAATATGTTCTTCTTTGATCCTCACAACAACCCTGGGAGGTAGATGCTATTATTATTCCTATTTTAAAGAAGAGGAAACTGAGGTAGACAGAGGTTAAATGACTTGGTCACAGGGTCACACAGCTGGTGTCTGAGGCATGCTTTCAGCTCAGGTCTTCCTGACTGCGGGTTTAAAGCTCTATTCATTAGGGCATTTAGGGCTTTTTTTTTTTTACTTTATTTTTGGTACTTTTTACTGATTCATTCACTCTCTCCCCATTTATCTCTTACATGATCTTCTTTCTGTGATGGTTGGTTGGTATCTGAGGCTCAGTTTTTGAATATGACATGAAATCAAGCTAACTGGCCCATATGAGGATTGAACCCATTAAAACGAGCATTTTTAGCACCTTATTTTAACCAATTTTTTGTTTCAGCTGTTTTTCAGTCATGTTCGACTCTCCATGACCCCATTTTTTTTAACCAATTAGACTAACTTAAAATATCTGAACAAATGATTACAAAATCCTTGTATCTAAGAGCCTCTCTCTCTCTTCCTTTTTCCAGGCCCCAGTTCCTCATTGTGTAGAAAGTGTTCCTACTTGAAGCCTAATAGACTGGGCACGAAACATCTTATCTTCCTTGTAAAGCCTTTTTTGAGCGGTTCTCAAAGTTAACTACTCTCCTGGGCTTTCCTCCTTGTGCCAGTACCCCAGCTGCCCCAATCTCATTGCTTCCCTGTCCTTTCTTTTCAAAGGACATTTTGAAGTAAATTTCCCTGTTGCATCACTCTATCCTCTGCACTGCCGTTTCCAGTCCTGTGCTCCTCTAATCATTCTGCCTGGTTTCTCAACAGTTCTGTGCTCCTCCTCTTCCTCTTCTTCTTCCTCCTCCAATTCATCAACAGTGATAGCAATAACAGTAACAGCAATTTCTATTTGTACAAGGCTTGTGGTGACAGTGTGTCATACAGAGATTCTCATCTAATCTCGCAACAACCCTGTGCATTGGATTGCCTAGCCAGTATTATCCTTGTTTACTGTTTAGCAAACTGAGGCTCAGATAGGTTAAGTAAGGAGAGAAACATAAACTGGTATAAAGAGTGAGATGTGGCAGCAGAGAAGGCCCATGTGATTTTAAGATGGATTAAGAGAGACGTGATATCCAGGCCCAGGGATCCCTCTCCCCTAATGAGATCTTATATGGAAAACTGTGTTCCAATATTTTTCAGGAAAGTCATTGGTAAGCTGGAGTGCATAGAGAGGAGGACAGCCCAGACGGTGAATGGCCTAGAACAGTGGTTCTCAAAGCATGGTCCACAGACCCCTTGGGGTTCCCAAGACCCTTGCAAGGCCAAAACAATTTTCAGAATAAGTCTAAGATATTTGAATTTCTAACATAGTTAATATCAACAGATAAAGTCTACATGAATAAAAACCCTTTAAAGGGGTGGAGAGGTGCGGTTCTCAATAACTTTTAAGAGTGTAAAGGGGTTCTGAAGCCACAAAGTTTGAGAACCTCTGCCCTCAAGGATCACTAGAAGGAACCTGAGATAGTTCTTGTGGAGAAGGGAAGACATAAGGGGTCATGAAGAAGAAGGGGTCAGTGTAAGCTGCTTGGGCAGCACTAGGAGCAAAGATATAAATTACAAAGAGACATATTTAGGCCTGATATTAGAGAGAACTTGCTCATAATTAGAGCTATTCCTATATGTAATGGGCTAACTCAAGAGAGAGTGGGCCATCCCTCATTGGAAGTCTTTCAGTAAAGGCTAGTGACCTCCTTCCCTGTCAGGTGTATCATAGAAGGGATTCTTGTGTGGGGGTGGGTTTAGCTAGAATGATTTCTTTCTTTTTTTAAAATTTTTAAAAAAATTTTTAGGCAATTGGGGTTAAGTGACTTGCCCAGGGTCACACAGCTAGTAAGTGTCAAGTGTTTGGTCTGAGGCTGGCTTTGAACTCAGGTCCTCCTGACTTCAGGGCCGGTGCTCTATCCACTGGCGCCACTTAGCTGCCCCTAGAATGATTTCTGAACTCCTGTGTGTCTCCAGTATTTTGTAGCCTCTGTGAACTGGGAGTCAGGAAAAATAGGTTTGATTTGATTAATAGTTAACTTTGTGACCTTGGACAAGTCATTGAACCATTGTGAACCTCAGTTTCCTTATCTGTTAAAATGGGGGCTGTGGTGGGGTTGGACTAACACTCTGAGTCAGTACCCTACCATCTTGAACATTTGGTGGACTCACCCAAGATCCCACACGCAGCAGTCATTGGGGATATAATGCAAGAGCAGAGGCCTCTTTCCCCTGTGCTTTCCTGACTCTTGGTCAATATAGCAGAAGTCTTCTCCTTAGGTTAACTTGTGCTGTAAGAAGAAAAACATATGTTCACCCTCCTGGGAGGGATGGATTCTTCTTACTCATCACACTTTCATGCCACTGATGGTACGGGGTTTTGTAGAGACACCTGGGCCAACTGGGACAGTCTTTAAAAGATACTATAGAACACGTTGCTATGGCAACACTCAATTAAATTCACTTTGCCAACCTTAAAAAAGTCTTCACACTAATTCTAATTTTGTGTTTGCTAGCAAATCACACAGCCATTTGAAGCAGGAAAATCTTATATGTCCAAAGAAAATCTATTGGTAAGTAAAATGCCTTTTTGTATATCATCATTTAAAAAAATTTATATGTTTTACATTTTAAAAATATTTTTTATTTATTTCATTAAATATTTTCCCATAAAATAAAAAATTTAAATATTCATTGTTTAAAATATTGAGTTCCAAATTCTCTCCCTCCATCCTGCTCCTTCCCCACCCCTTGAGAAGGCAAAAGATATAATATCACATTCGTTTTCATTATATCATAATACCATGATATTATTATGTCATCATTGTTATTGGCTGATATTGGGTCTGAGGAAAAGAGTTTGTTGAGTTAGAAGTTTGCTGCCTTACCTGCACTTTCTCTCGAAACTTTGAGACATAGGCAGACACGAATGTCGAAAATACGAGTCAGTCAGTCAGTCAACATTATATTAAAGGCCCAGTGTGTGCCAGGTACCATGCTAAGTGCTGGAATACAAAAAGAAGCAAAAGACGGTGCCTGCCCTCAAAGATCTTACAATCTAATGGTGGAGACAATAAGCAAATGTGTACAAACAAGCAATATAGAGGATAAATAGGAAATAATTAACAAAGGGAAGGCACTGGAATGAAGAGGGCTTGGGGAACGTTTCCCATAGAAGATGGGATATAAGTTGGGACTTCAAGGAAACCAGGGAGGCCAGTGTTGGAGGAGAGGAGGGAGAATGTTCCAAGCATGGGGGACAGCCAGAGAAAATGCCCAGAGCCAAGAGATGGAGTGTCTTGTTTGTGGGACAGCCAGGAGGCCAGTGGCACTGGATCAAAGAGTACTTTTGGGGGGAAGGTAGGAGGGGGCAAGTTATGAAGGGCTTTGAATGACAAAAGGCAGTTTGTATTTCATCCTGGAGGCAACAGGAAGACACTGGAGTTTATTGAGTAGATGAGTGACATGGTCGGGCCTATGCTTTAGGACAATCACTGTGGTAGCTGAGAGAAGGAGAGACAAGGCAAGCAACCCCACTAGGAGGCTATTTCAGTAGTCCAGGTATGAGCTGATGAGGTTCTGCTCCGGGAGGTGTATCAGTGTCAGAGCAGAGAAGGAGGTGTATTGGAGAACTGTTGCAAAGGTAAAATCAAGAGTCCTTGGAAATAGCTTGAATATAGGGGTGGGTGGGATTGGGGGAGGGTGGAGAGGTGAGCAAGAGTGAGGAGCCCAGGATGACTCCTAGGTTTCCAGTCTGGCTGACTGGGAGGTTGGTGTTCCCCTCAACAGTAATGAGGATGGTGGGGTTGGGGAGCATTTAGGGGGAAAGATAACGAGTTTGGTTTTAGACCATGTTGAGTTTAAGATGTCTACTGGCCATCCACTTTGAGATATATGAAAGGCTGTTAGGGGATGTGAGATTTGAGATTAGCAGAGAGGTTGGGGCAGGAAAAGTAGATTTGAGAATCATTGGCCTAGAGATGGTCATTAAATCCATATAGGAATGCCAAGAGTACAACAGGGCCATGTAGGGCCAAATGTGAGTTACTACCGCCATTTTTCTAGTTACGGAAACACACTCCATCTCTTGCCTCTGGGCATTTTCACTGGCTATTCCCCATGCCTGAGATTCTCTCCCTCCTCATCTCTGTCTCCTGGCTTCCTTCAAATCTCATCTAAAGTCCAACTGTCTTCAAGAATTCTTTTCCAACCCCCCAGATATTAGTGTCTTCTCTCTGTTGTTTTCTCCAGTTTATCCTGTGTATATCTTTTGTGTAGGGATGCTTATCTCCTCTGTTAGACTGAGAGCTCCTTGAGAATGGAGACTTGTTTTGGTTTTGTTTTCTTTTGTTTTCTTTCCTTTTCTATTGTGTCTGAAGCACTGAGCACATATTATTTGCTTAACAAATGCTTGTTGACTTGGCTTAACTTGACACACACATGCACATGTATGTATAGTTGTATGCATGTATGTATATATGTATATACTTATGGTCATCATGCCTGCATATATTTTCAGCAAAATTCACATTTCCCACTAAATGTTCATCAAATGTTCTAATGGTAGAGCTTCACCATCAAGCATTGCTTTTCTTTCATACCTGGTCTTCTCCTCTTGACCTTCATTCTAGTTCTGAGAAGATTGCCTTCCACAGGGTTTTTCTGGATATTTTTTTTTAATCAAGCATTATGATAAGAGAATTTTTGAACTTCCATGAAATTTCTCTCAGAGAGCCGAAGGTTGTTTCTTGGGTCCCATTCCATCCATTTAGTAATTCTTGATGCTGGCTAAAAGAATCAAATAAACGGGGTAAATGCCTTTGCTCCATCCTCAGTCCCTCCATCCACATGAACAAGGATGGATGAGCTTTATTCATATTTAATAATAGCAATTCCAGTGTGCCATGGAAGGACCATACTTAGCAAAGACAAGTTATTCGCATTTCTAGGAAGACATTCAGCCACCAGGGGACTGTTTTATGAATATGGATAGACAGGTAGTCACAGGCATGCTGTTTTGCTATGGAAAATGCCCCCAAATAATGCAGGCCTCTATTGCCTTAGAAAAGTTCTTTACTTTTCTTAAAGAGTTTTGAGGAGACTTTTTTTTCAAATTCGTTTATGAGTCATTTCCATGTTGTATAACTTGTGCTGGGAATGTACTTTGCTTGGAATAAAAGTAGCTTTATGAATCTCTTCCTTTATTGCTCACTTTCATTCCAAAGACTTCATTTTCGGGTGGCTCATTTTTTTTCTTGCATTAAAATGTGAAATGGATCTTGAGTTCCCTGTAAGGAGCCTACACTGAAAGGGCTGACATTAGGAGGATGTAATCACACATTTGTATTTCATTCAAGGTCCCAAGACCTCAGAAAGCCCGAGAGTATTTGTTTCCTTTCAGAAAGAAATGTCAGGTCATCTTTTCCATTTCTTCCCGCTTTCTCCTGTAGGAATAATTTTAAGCATAAAGGAAATGTCACTCAGATCTTTTTCTTTTAATATAAAATGAGAATGGCAAAGTAATGAACTCATTAGTTAACTAATTAAAATACTATTTTAGAGGCTGCTTAATGCCCTTTAGAATACACTTTTTTTTTTAGTATTGAGGGAAAGTAACATTAAAGAACATTACTCAGTAATCTTCTGTTGATCCTTAAGTGTTTGTATATAATTATTTTAGCTGATTACATCAAAGTTCTAAAAAAAACCAGTACTCTATTTGCTGAAAATTAGTTTTGGACCTTTGTCCAAATCTGGTAGTGAGTTAGCAATATCATAGGTATGAATACTGGGACAACAAACTTGGTAATCTCTTTGGGATCTCTCTGGCTACTGGATATGGGAGTCCAGCCTTTGGAGATGGTAAGATGGAAGACTAGAGGCCCATGGAGTCTTGATTTTTGTACTGTCACCCCAATCCACTTGAATGACTCTGAATGCCCATTTTCCTGGGCCACGAACCCAGTAGTTCCATTTTCCTAGCAATGATAAGGCCAACAGGAATTGCCAGCTTTCGGCCAGAAGAGTAGAAGCAGAAGCTATAAGGAGGCAGATTTAATTCAGTGTTAGCTGGAATGTGCCCCCCTCATGAGGTGCTGGAGAAGAGGCTGATGACCACTTGTTGAAAACATCCTAGAAAGAATTCAACACTAGCTAGGGCAGGGGTTCTTAATCTGGGGATTCTGCGGGGGAGGTGTATGTGGGGTGAGGAGTGCTGGTGAATTTAGAGAGAGAAAGAAATGAAAATTCATATCTTCATTTTCACTAACCTCTGAGGGATGTTTAGCATTTCTTTCACTTGTGAATGTGGGCAACAAAGATGATTCTGAGAAGGGGTCCGTAGGCTTCACCAGCTTCTGCCAAAGTCTGGTGATGTGTGGCTCCCAAAGGGGTCAGAACTCCTCGGTTAAGGAGCTGACTTAGATGATCCTGAAGTGGTTTCCAGCCCTTGCAACTTCTGTGACTGCCCCCCATTGTCAGACAGAAGAACAGTGGGCCTGGCCACTCTACTCCTAGTCCTGGCCAACTCTAAAGTCAACTCAGTTCCATTCATTTGGGTTCCATTTATTTAAATAGACGCTTAGGAAATACAAGAGACTAGACTAAGCAGTGGACGTACAGAGGCAACCAGATGACAGTCTTTGCCCTTAAGGAACTCCTAATCTATTGGGAAGGAAAAATATAAACACAGATAAGTAGGACATAAGGCAAACAAGATGTAGCAAGTGGAAAGGGTGGGGTGTCCCCTAGATAAAATGCTATGAGATATTTAGAACAACTTCTGTGGCAGAGAGGAGCACTGTGCAGTCATGCTGGCCCAATTGGATTAGCTAATATGAATTGGTAGTGGACCCAATCAGTGCAGTTTTGTGATATTCCAGCAGTGCCCAGTAGCTCAAATATAGAAACAGAGAAGACAAAAGATGGCCATTACCCAGGGATGGACTTTTACAGTGTAAGAACAGCAGAGGTTAAGAAGATGATTTATGCAAGAGAAGAGGAGAGGACAGCACATAGTTGGTAGTGATAGCCTGTAGGGAAAGGAACTAGGAAGATGACCAGAGAAAACAGATAAGGACTGAGGAACAGAGGTGCCAGATAAGGAGAGGATCAAGTTTAGGAGGAGCAAATTGGTAGGAGAGGTAAAAGGACAGGAGGTTATGATCAAAGAAGGGAATTCCAGTGTTCTGCATCTTGGTAAGAGAGAGCAAGAGTTGTGGGAATGCTCATGGGATGATAATCCCTGGGTAGAACTGAGGTAGAGTAGGGATGGAGATCATGAAAAGTTGAAGAATGAAGGGATGAGGATGTTAGGAATGTGACATGAATATTGAAGTCCTTGCATGTGCTGAAGCCACTGAGGAATGGGGGAGCTTCCCAGAGCCTGGCAGATGGCAGCAACAAGGACTGGGATGGAGTGATAAGGTAATGGGTGGGTCCTGAGTTTGTCAGAGGAAAAGGTCTGGAAGTGGAAGTCGGGTATGCAGAACATACCGTCTCCTCTTTGGACGAGACATTACCTCCTCTGTGATCTCCCTTCAGTTGGAAGGGATCTCAGAGGTCATCTAACACAACCTGAACAGGAATCTTCTCTGGACTCTTCCAGAGAAGTAGTCATCAGGCCTCTTCTTGAGAACCTTCACTGATGGAGAACTCATTACTTCTCAAGGGAGCCCCTTCTACTTCCAGATGGCTCTCATTGATTCAGAATGGATTCCTTGTGTTGGACTGAAACTGTCTGCAGCTATCACTTAGTGATCTCAGTTCTACCCTCTGGAGCCAAGGAGAATGTCTCCCCTCACTCAAATGTGACCCAGCTCTTTGAGAACAGGCGCCATATTGCTTTTCTTTTTGTGTCTCCAGTATTTAGCATGGGGCTTGGCATATGACAAGAACTTACCAAATACCTTTTATCCATTCATTGATTCAGGCATATATGCATGCCTGTTTTCATTCATTCATTCATCTGATCCTTCTTCCACATGACAACCCTTCAAATACTTGTGGAACAATGATCATCACTGCCCACCCTCCCCCGCCATCTTCTCTTCTCCAAGTTTCTTCAGCTGTAAAGGTCAAATAAAATCACATATATACACTTTAAAGCTCTCTAGAAATGTTTGCTGTCCCTATTGTTAACTTGCTTGGCCTTCCTTGGGGTGTTTGCCCATGTAGTTGGTGTTGTAAAGTAGCACCTACCATCTGCTGATGGGAATGAGGTAAGGTTAGGTTGCCTCCTCCATGCCAACGTGTGGTACCATTCTGTGGCACCTTATCTGTGGCCGGACTGTACAGCTTTCACAGTTGATTGGTGACTGCCATACCTTCAGCAAAATATTGAGTTCCCCATATTTTCCTTCTAGGCCCTGGATAGTCCTGGGTGACCGGCATGATACCAGAGAGGGGCATAGAATGACATTTCTTCTGTCCTGTATTCGGGGGGAATGGAACTGATAACTTCCAAACGATGCTTTACTGATCCTTGTTCACAATCCCCTTTCTAGGCCCTGGAAGATTTACTGAATCGCAGCATTCCCGGATGTGTGACCCTTATGTGCCAACCAACTTTCATCTATAAGTTTACTTTGGTCAAAATGCGCTTTTTCATCCAGCTGGCCGCAACAATAAATTGCTTGCCGGAAAGTGAAGTGAAATCATTCTTCCAGGAGTTTCCCCAGAGAAGCAAATTCCAGGTCACATGCAATAAAGGTAATCCCAGATGGGGAGCTGTTAGTCAATCTCTATAGATAAAGTGTGTTTGGAATGATTTCTGTCCCTTTCTATAATGCATCATCTCTTTAGTGGACAGCAGTGTGGAGGTGAGAGACAAGTCCCTGCTACTCCTCCTGGAAAGAAGTGATGTTCCATTTTGATATTGGCAGGTGGGTCAGGAAGGCAGCGGGCAGGGATGGGGGAGGAAACACAGTATAGAGCAGTGTGAAGAAGGCTGGATTTGGAGGCTAGACGAGCTGGGTCCACATCTTAGATCGGTCCCTTATGACCTACATGACCTGGATGGGACTACATGACCTCTAAGGTGCCTTCTGGTTCTAAACTTATGATCTCTACCTTAAGTATATTACTAATAATAATAATAACCTTTATATTGTGCCTGCTATGTGCCAAGCGTTGTACAGAGGGCATTGTAAATATTATCTCATTTGATCCTCATGATGACCCTGGAGGGTAGGTGCTATATTACTCTTCTTATTTTACAGTTGAGGAAACTGAGGCAAATGGAGGTTTAGTGACTTACCCAGGGTTAGACAGCTAGAAAAACTAGTAAGCATCCAAGGTTGGATTTGGGTGTAAGTCTTCCTGAATGTAGGACAGGACCCTCCATCCAAGGCACTGCCTAGCTGCCCCAGTGATCTTTAGGAAATGATTCCTAGGCCTCCCAATACAGCCTAGAGTAGATGATGAAACTGAAGATGGGCTGAGATCAGCTTGGCCCAGACTTCACAACAACCTAATGGAAGACTTGTATTAGAACTTCTATACAGTTGTGCACACAGGATAGCTGACACATGCTTTGTATCCATGTAAATAAAATTATATTTCTAAAATGAAATATATATTGTTCCCTCCTGGGAGGATATGACCCAGATGAATCCTTAATGATGGATGCTTTTTGGAAGGCGGTGTTGTAGAACTTAAGACTGCGGGCGGTCAGGGAACTTATTTTCAGTTGACTTGCATTTGTTTAAATACAGTAACATTTCATGAATTCACACATGGCTAATTTAGAATCTCTAATTTTCTAAATTAGAATTTGGATAGGGGTTGGGTTGAAGCTTACTCTGGCACTGTCATGGGGTTCATCATCTGAAACCTAAGGTTCACAATGCCTTTCCGTCTAACTCACTGCTAACCCCAAACCTCCTCCAGGTGTGGTCTCTCTCGTTAGAATGAAAACTTCTGGAGAGTTGGAACTCGCTTGCTTTTCTACTTGTAACCTCGATACTTAGTGTTAATAAATGCCTCCTTTTTCTTCCTCCTTCTTCTTCCCTTTTGCCCCTTCCTTCCTTCTAGTCTCTCCCTTTTTCTGTCCTCTTCCTTGCCTTGCCCTGTTTGCCTCCCTCCCTCCTCTCTCTTCTTATTTTACTTCCTCTCTCCCTTCCTTCCTTCCCTCCTTCCTTCCATTCCCCTTTCCTTCCTTCCCCCTTTCCTTCCTTCCCTCCTTCCTTCCTTTCCTCCTTCCTTCCTTCCTTCCCTCCCTCCCTCTTTCCCTCCCTCCCCCCTTTCCTTCCTTTCTTCCTTCCTTCCCTCTTTCCCTCCTTCTTTCCCTCCCTCCCTCTTTCCCTCCCTCCCTTCCTCCCTCCTTCCTTCCTTCCTTCTTTCCTTCCTTCCTTCCCTCCCTTCCTTTCTTCCCTCCCTCTCTCTTTCCCTCCCTCCCTCCTTCCTCCCTCCCTTCCTTCCTTCTTTCCTTCCCTCTTTCCCTCCTTCCCTCTTTCCCTCCTTCCCTCTTTCCCTCCCTCCCTCCCTCCCTCCTTCCTTCCTTCCTTCCTTCCTTCCTTCCTTCCTTCCTTCCTTCCTTCCTTCCTTCCTTCCTTCCCTCATTGCTTCTCTCCCCTCAATGAAGAAGAGAACTACTAAGGAGATGAAAACCAGGGTTGTCCAACAGGACTCTGATCTCATCAGTGCAGGGATTCCCACGTTGCAATCTGCAACCCGCCCAAATCTTCCCAGCTTCTCTCATTCTCTTCCTTTCTTCTTATAATTCCCCTTAGAAGAGGAAGCTTTGCCCTAAGTGCCCTAACCTTGTGTGGGCACACATGCTACCCCACTGACCCTGTCTGTTGCCCCTCACCCTTGCCTCATGATCAGTACATCTCCCTGTCCACTCACACAGCCTTCTCCTTTTGCCAGCATGGATGATATGCTATAGGCTACTTGCCACCTTGTGTAACTCTGCCCTGACTTTTGGGTCCTACGCACTTTTGATTTCTTAAGGTTATGGGATGCCCTTTGGGGAAGTCTGTGAAGTCTACCCAAAAGTAGTAATAGTAAGAGGTGGCATGGAGATAGTGCTTGAAGATACACAGTATCTCATTTCACCTTCATATCATTCCTGCCAGGTACGTACTATAAGTACTGTTATTCACATTTTCCAGATGAGGAAACTGAGGCTTAGAAAGGTGAAGGGACTTGTTAAGGCTGACGGAGCTAATGAGTGTCAGAGGTGAGATTCAAACCCAGGTCTGAGCTGGTTCCTTATGTGACATTTTTTCCTACCACATCCTGGATAGGTCAACATATATCTCAGACAGATATTCAACAAGGACAGTGAGTTGAGTGGAGCATTGGATGCCAAGAAGAAAGCATGCTTAACTGCATTTGGGAAATTACTGTGCTTTCTGTGATTCCAAGGTCAATAGAGAAAACAAAATAACAAGAGAATATTTGAAATCTCTTAGGAGAAGGAACTTTTATGAAACTTCTGAGTACTTTGGAAGTACCTAGCTATTTAAAAGTGATATGCTAATTTTAAAATATTCTTATCTATTCCTTAGTAAAATCTCTCTAAGCAACATTTTATTAGCTTAGACTTAGTACCTTATTGAAAGTAATACAACTGTGCTTCTTTTCAAATATTACAGAATTTTAACTTTTTACCAAGTGAGATTGGCCTATTAGTTCAAATTAGTGAGGTTTTGTTGTAACTTAGTGTCTGTTAACTGGTTTTCATTTATTGAACTTTATAAATCCTCTGTAGCAATCAGCAACTATTTTTAGTTTATACTAAAAATGTGAATTTGTGTCTAAAGTAGAAAATTCCCTAACACACTGTAGAGTGAACTTTAATTATAAAGAGGGGTAGGGAATAGGCAGTTTTAAAATGAAATTATTTAAACAGGAGAGACAATTTGAAAAGATTTACTATGAAGGCATATCTACTAATATCATGTAAACTAATGCTGTTTCTTTTTTCCAATAATGGAAAAACTTAATGTGTTATATAAACAAACCCTGGTGTGATATTGTTCATGTGTGATAAGCTTTCTATGAAACTAACTGCCCTCTTCAACAGTTTCATCTAATATTATGTCTTCATTGAAACAAATTAAGGGCATTTAGAGGAGTATGCCTGTATTTCATGGTTAGAAAAAATGTCATGGATGTTATTTTGGGGAAAAGCAAACAAGGAGATATCAACAATTATAGATCCTAATGCTTAGGTGCAAGGGCTCCATGTCTCAGGTTGACTGCCCCCATAAAACCAAAACTCTGGGGCAGTCAGGGGGTCAAAGACAGACAGTATTAGCCAACAGATGCTTACATGGAAAGGCTCAGGGGAGAGATGAGGGAAATGCACCAGGGTGGAGCGGCAGCAGGCTCTCCTTGTCAGGTCCTTCTGTCTAGTCTTTTCCCCTTTTCCCCCAAATAATGACATAGGGTGTTGAGAAGCCACTGGAGGACACCGCCAGACACAGGAGACCAGGATAAAAAAAAGCCCTGACAGTACTATCTTCCCTCTAGGAGAGTTACTGAGTCTGTGCCCTGAGAAGGAGGAGCAAAGGTGGCCCATGCCTAGGGTTAATGCTTCTTTATCTAATGGCCATCCTTCATGGATGGCTGGAATTGACATCATGTGGGAACTCCATTGCTTTATCTGTATGGTTTTGCCAACTCATAGTAGGTGCTGGGGATACAGAGAAAGAGAAACAAGACATAGTCCTCAAGGCATCAAGACAGCGAGTTGGCACATTGGACTGGGAATCAGGAGGGCCTGTGTTTGAATCCGGCCTCAGTCAGTCAGTAAACATATATTGAGTGCCTACTATGTGCCAGGCACTGTGCTAAGTGTTAGTGTTAGGGATGCAAAAGAAGGGCAAAAGACAGTCCCTGCCCTCAAGGAGCTTACAATCTAATGGAAGAGACAACATGTAGACAGCTATGTACAAACAAGCTATATACTGAATAAAAAAAGAAATAATCAGCAGAGAGAAAGCAGCAGAATGAGGAGGGGTTAGGAAAGGCTTCCTGTAGAAGGTGGCATTTTACCTGGGACTTGAAGGAAGCCAGGAGGCAGAGACAAGGAAGGACAGTATTCTGGGCATAGAGGACACCCTGGGACAAGAAGACCAGTGTTACTGGAGTGAAGAATGCGTCTTGGGGTCTAAGTCATGAGAAGACTGGAAAGGTGGCAGCAGCGGTGGTAGTGAGGGAGGCTTATCCAGGGTTTGGGTCCCCAAACAGAAGATTTTATATTTGATCTTGGAGTTGATGGGGAGCAAATGGACTTCACTGAGTAGTGGGAGAGTGATATGGTCGGACCTGTGTCTTAGAAAATTCACCTTTTTTTTTTTTTGTGCAGCAATTGGGGTCAAGTGACTTGCCCAGGGTCACACAGCAGGAAATTCACTTTGACGATTGAGTAGATTTTGGGCTGGAGGGGAGAGAGACTTGTAGCCAGTAGACTTATCAGCAGTTTGATCTGTGATCAGCCTCAGACACTTACTAGCTCTGTGACCCTGGGCAAGGATCACAAAACAGCTTTCTGTCTCAGTTTCCTCCTATGTAAAATGGGGACAAAAATAGCACCTACCTCCTAGGATTGTTGTGAGAATAGAATGAGACAATATTTGTCAAAGCATTGTATCAATGCAAGCTGCTACTAACTACTACTACTATCACTACTGCTACTACCACTACCACCACCACCACCACCACTACTACTACTACTACTACTACTACTACTAACTACTACTACTATTACTGTTAACCAGCAATAGTTAATTTACTACTACATAGTTAAATCACTGCTACAAACTTCTACTTAGCAGTTGGTGGGTGACGTGGAGGGGAGCTGGGTGGTTCAGCCACTGGGGAAAGAGGAGTTGGGAGAAGACAGGACATTGGGATAGCACCCAAACTTAGGCTGGGTTTAGGGCAGAGACAGTCTTGGGTTAGACAGACAATGCAGAGGCATGGAGACAGCACCTGGTGTCTGGGGTGGGGGTGGGAGGATGGTGTGGTGGCAATGCTGGAAGCCATGGCGGAGACCGGCCTGGAAGATCTTTCTCTGAACCTGAAGCCAGAGGTCCAGCCCCCTGAAAAATGAAGGTGAACAATTAAGGATTTCAACAAATTTTGCAGTTTTGTCTTGGCTTAGGCTGGCTACATTTCCTCCAGCAAAGAGGCAAGTGACTGACCGGCTTCTGGCTCTGGTTCACCATTTCGGGGAGAGAGTGCCACAGACAGTGATGGCTGGGATTCAGCCCCTACAGACCTTTGAACAATCCAGACTTTTGTCTGCTCAAGCAGAACCCTCTCCACCAGGACCCCCTTTCCTCGATTGCAGGCCTCTGATAATGCTACACTGGTTGAGAAGATAAAACTTAAGGATTCTCTCTTTGATTTGGATGGCCCCAAAGCAGCATCACCTCTGGTCCCTGTACCCCTAACACATGCCCCGTGGTCCCCTACTACCCTCACCTCTGTCATTGCTTCCTTCAACCCTTCTGAAAAAGGACCGAAAGAACTTTCGAAAGTTGGAGGGGGACAGAAGGGAGAGAAAGTTTTGGAGGCTTTGGAGACCTTGGTCAGCTCCTGCAGATGCTGAGAAGAGGTAGAGGATAAAGAAGAGTAAGAAGTGAAAGTTGAAAAAGCTGGAGAGGGGGAATCAACCTCACTACTTGTGGACCCCCTTAGGCTCTTCCCAGTGACACAGACCCTGAAGAAGTGGAAAAAGAGGAGGAGGAAGAAGGAGAAGAAATGGTAGCAGTGACAACAGTAGTAGCAGGCAGTTGTGGGGGTTAGGTCCCAGCTTCTGTACTCCCTCTACCCCCTGACGCCCCCTGGCGCCTCACCTGAACCCCCCCCAGGAGGTATCCCTGCTGAGAGTGAAGCCAAGGAAGTGGGAAGCACAGAGACAAGCCAGGATGGGGATGGGAGCTCCAGGGAGGGTGAAATGCAGGTAATGGATGAAGACATCGTGGGAGAATCAGGCAACGACTCATGGGACTTGATCACCTGTTATTGCCAGAAACCCTTTGCAGGGAGACCCATGATTCAGTGCAATTTCTGTGAAACATGGATCCATCTTTCATGTGCTAAGATTAAGAAGACCAATGTCCCTGATGTATTTTACTGCCAGAAGTGCAAGGAGTTGCGGTCAGAGACCATTGATCTGGTGGTCTCTCCAAGCCTGGAGAGCCCTAGGACCCACCCAAACCTTTACTTCAAGTTGGAACTCTTCGCAGAGACATCATCACTTAGAAGGGGTCCCTATGTTGCCACTGATCCATTGGGACTTGAACACTGACCCGTTATGGGGTGGGGATTCTCAAGGAAGGCTTTCTTGAGAATGAGTGGGTTTTTCCCTAAAGCCTTTAGGACTTGAATTCTGACCCATTGAACAGGAAAGTGTCCCTATTCCTAAGATTCCCTGCCTCATCCCTTCACTGTTCCACCAGTTGACCCTGCTAACTCTCATATCCACCAGCCCAGACTAAGGTTGGAATCAGGGTAGGGTGAGGCAGTTGTCTATACCTCTAGTATAATATAGCATTGCCACCCCTTTCTTCTATGACTTGTTTGGACTCTTACCTTTTATTTTCTTGAACCCCCTCTCCCATTTCTTTCCTTGAAAACCTTTTGGCTCAGAAACATAAGACGTGGGTCTCTTGTCTTTTGTGTGGGACAGGTGATATTTCTATCATCTACCCACTTCTTTGTTTTAAAAATGGTGGCCAGCTGCTTGTACATGTGGTATGGTTGTAAATAAAACAAAGTGGGCTCTTTTGTGTTTATTTTAAAAATACTACTTCATTATTATATTATTATTATATGGTATATTATATCATTATATAATATATTATTGTATAATAATGTTATTAACTACTACTACTACTGTCACTACTGCAAACTACTACTACTATTACTACTATTATTAACTACTACTATTACTACTACCACTACTACTATTAACTACTATTACTACTACCACTACTACTATTGCTGTTATTAACTACTACTGTTACTGCTATTACCACCAATACTACTACTGCTAACACTGACTGCTACTATTACTACTGCTAACTACTTTTTATTTTACCACTACTACTTTTATTATTTTATTTGAGATAAGCAATACATACAAAGAGAAGTATATATATATATATGTATATGTATATGAAATTTGAATTGAATCTTCTAAATTTCAGCACTATGGGTCAAAGCCTCAGTCACAGTCACCTCACCCTATTTATAGCCCTGGTTATTACCCTCTTTCCTTAGAGATACACATAGCTCTGAGGACAATGGCAGGTGGATATGACCTTACGAAGCCCCCAAATATCATAGAAAACACAGTCCTGGCTATGTGTTTATGGACAAGTCAGTGTTTCTCATTGGTAATCGTGCCAGATAATAATAGATGTCCTGACTGTCTGAAACAGATGTTGTTAGTGTCAGTGAAAGAGCACATAAGGGCAAATTACTTAATTAGTTAATGAGCCACATAAAGGGACACAAGGGAAGTAGACATCATGGGTAGACATTCTGGCAATTAACTGGCTATCTGAGCATCGGCAGGTCATTGAGCCTATCAGCCTCAGTTTCCTTCTCTGTCAAATGAGGAGAAGGCTACCATAGTGGCTGCTTCAGAAAGTTGTTGAAAGTTTTACAAACCTTATAAGTGCTATCTACATTTCATCTCATTTCTTATGCTTAAATCATTTCCATGGGGCAATATCCTGTGGGGTAGAAGGCAGATTTCAAAACAGGTAGAACTCGGTTCAAATCCTTCCTCCAACACTTACCCAGCTTTGTGTCCACAGCAAGTTGCTTTCTCCTGCTTAGCCTCAGCCGCCTCACCTGATAACCTTTATTAAACTACCTGTCTCCAAGGGCTGTTCTGAGGAACATGCTTCGCAGACCTTAAAGGACCTGTACATGTTGCTTCTCTAAGACTGGTAAACACACCACTCTTTCTGATTGTCCAGATATTCTTTTATATTCAGAAGCAATAAGGGAATAAATGGACCCCACACGCCCAAATGAGATTTTAAAAGTCCTTTCTAGCCATGTGTCTGCTGACAGCCAGAGTTCATGAAATTTCTCAAAGTCCCCACCTCATTGTGAATTACCATGGCAATACTAATACTCTGTTCTAGAGTATTAGACATGGAACGGAGAAGGCCTGGGTTCAAGTCCTACTTGTGATGTATGTTAGCTGGGTGAACCTAGGCAAGAAGCTTAACCTTCCGCTGCCCCAGAGTGCCCTTTAAGACTATACTTGGAAGAGATGCCAGTCTGTTTAGATAGAGGGAATTCCCTGTACAGATGAAAGCAGAGGACCAGACAAAAGATGGTAATACTAGCAGCTTGTTGTGAGTATCCATTGAGAAAATCTACATAAAGCACTTTGTAGACCCTGAAGTGATCAGTACATGCTAGTTATTATTGTTATACCTGTATGTGCACATATTGTCTCAGAGTGTTTCACTTCTGTCTTAGCATCCCTAGCACAATTTAATAAATGTTGCTGTTGTCTCCTTTTCTTTCCTCTTCCTCTTCTTCCTCCTCCTCTTCTTCTTGCAGTGGAGAGAGTTCTGGGCCTGGAGTCAGGAAGATTCATTTTCCTGAATTCAAATCTGCTCTCAGACACTTACTAGCTATGTGACCCTGGACAAGTCACACTTAATCCTGTTTGCTTCCGTTCCTCAAGAGTAAAGTGAGCTGGAAAGGGAAATGTCAAACCACTCCAGTATCTTTGCCAAGAAAACCTTATATGGGGTTACAAAGAGCTGAACACAAATGAAATGACTAAGCAACAACAATATCTATCATTATCATTAGGGAGGGCAGATTAGGGAAGGTGGTAGACAGAAGCAAAACACTAGTAAAGAGGGAAAGGATAAAAGGAGAGAGAGGGCAAACAGGAGGAAGAATAGGATGGAGGGAAATACAGTTAGTAATCATAACTATGAATATGAATGGGATGAACTCTTCCAAAGAAGGGAAGCACATAGCAGAATGGATCAAAAACCGGAATCCTACACTATGTTGTTTACAAGAAACACACTTGAAGTGGAGAGACACACACAGAGTAAAGGTAAGGGGCTGGAGCAGAGTCTATTATGTATCAGGTGAAGTTAAAAAAGCAAGAGTAGCAATCCTGATCTCAGACAAAGTAAAAAGTAAAAATAGACCTAATTAAAAGAGATGAGGAAGGAAACTACGTCTTGCTAAAATGTACCATAGACAATGAAGCAATGTCAATACTAAACATATATACACCAAGTGGCATAGCATAGAAAGTGAAACTATCATTATCATTATTATTATTATTGTCATAGTGAGACGTGGGCTCATAATATGTGAACACGGGGCTTTTGAGGGATGAGTTGATATTCTGGTGTAGAACAGAGGTTCTCAATCTTGTTTATGTTCATGGACCCCTTTGACAATCTAACCACTCCTCAGAATAATGTTTTTAAACACATAAAATACATAGGATTACAAAAACAACCAATTATATTGAATAAGTTATCTAAATATTAAAAAATAACGCATATATACAAGTTCACAGACTGTCCTCCCCACAAGCTAAGGACCCTGGACTTAGGACATTTATTGTTGTCATTGTGATCATTTTTATTGTTCTATTAATTGAAATGTTGAACTTTGTGTTTTACTTTCCAAACTTTCATGTGTCCCCACATAAAAGACCATGCAAAGGAAGAATCTACACAAACTATTATTCTGACCAAGACCAAAGAGGAGCTGACTCCAGGTAAATTAAAGGTAATTTAACATTTTATTTATCACGGGATGCATAGTCACTCAGTCCTTGTGCCTTTGGCCATGCCCATTCGCAGGGATGTGCTGCCATGGGACTACAGAGTGACACTGTGTCTGAATCTAACTTTGAAGAGACAGAGGTAGGGGCTCATTATTTTAATAATTACACCTTTATTTATTATAACATTAATTAAAAAATATTTTTTGAGTTCCCAATTCTTTTCCTCCCTCTAGCCCCTCCCCCAGCCATTGGGAAGACAAGCAGTATGATATCAATTATATATGTGAAGTCATGTAAAACATATTTCCATATTAGCCATGTTGTAAAAAAAACCCAAGAAAAATTAAAGTTAAGTGAAAAAAGTATGCTTCAATTTTTGCCACCACAAAAGAGCTGCTATAAATATTTTTGTACAGATAGGTCCTTTTCCTTTTCATTTGATCTTTTTGGGGTACAGACCTAGTATTGGAATTGTGGGTCAAACGGTATGCACAGTTTATAGCCCTTTGGCCATCGTTTCAAGTTGTTCTCCAGAATAGTTGGACCTGTTCACATCTCCACTATCAGTGCATTAGTGTCTCAATTTTACCACATCTCTTTCAACATTTGTCATTTTCCTTTTCTGTCATGTTAGCCAATATGATGGATGTGGAGTGGTATCTCAGAATTATTTTAATATTCATTTCTCTAATCAATAGTGATTTAGAGCCTTTTAATATGACTATTGATAGCATTGATTTCTTCAGAAAATTGCCCATTCATATCCTTTGGTCATTTATCATTTGGGGAATGGCTCTTATTTTTATAAATTTGACTCAGCTCTCTATATATTTGAGAAATGGGGCTTTTATTAGAGAAACTTGTTAAATTTTCTTCCATTTTCTTGTTTTCCTTCTACTTTTGGCTGCACTGATTTTGTATAAAAACTTTGATTTCATGTAATCAAAATTAGCCATTTTACCTCCTCTGATACTCTCCATCTCTTGTTTGGTCATAAACTCTTCCCTTATTCATAGATCTGACAGGCACATTTCCCCATGCTCCCCTAATTTACTTATGATATCAATTCTTTATATCTAAATCATTTATCCATTTTGACCTTATGTTGGTATATGTTGCAAGATGTTGGTCTATACCTAGTTTCTGCCAAACTACTTTCCGGTTTTTCCAGCAATTTTTGTCAAATAGTGAGTTGTTGTCCCCAAAAGTTTGGATCTTTAGGTTTATCAAGCACTAGATTACTATGGTCATTTACTACTGTGTACCTAATCTATTTCACTGATCCACCACTCTTATTTATTTGCCAGTACCAAATTATTTTCATGGTTACTACTTGGCAATACAGTTTGAAATCTGGTACTGTCTTGCTACCTTCCTTCACATTTTTCCCCATTGATTCCCTTGATATTCTTGACCTTTTGTTCTTCCAGTAGAATTGTTTTGATATTTTTTCTAGATCTATAATTCTTTGGTAGCTTGATTGGTATGGCACTGAATAAGTAAATTAATTTAGGTAGAATTGTCATTCTTATTATATTGACTCGGCCTACCCAAAGACAATTAATATTTCTCCAGATTATTTAGATCTGTCTTTATTTGTGTGAAAAGTGTTTTTAGTTATGTCATATAATTCCTAGGTTTGTCTTGGCATGTATAGTCACAAGTATCTTATACTGTCTGCAGTTATTTTAAATGGAATTTCTCATTCTGTCTCTTCCTGCTGGATTTTGGGGGGCTTATTCTTTCTTAAATAAAAGACATAGAGGAAAGACCAGAAGTGTCTTTCCATGGCTTTCCAGCCTGACTAAGGCACTGGAGATGATTTGTTTTATTGTGCTTATGTTTCATGTTTCATTCCTAAATTCTCATCTAATGCATAAAACATAGGCTTCTCAGTGCTGGGGGTGCTCTATAACATGGAGGTTTAGGCCTTTGATGTTGAAAGACTCCCTGGAGTCCTCTTTGTAGCTTTTTCCTTCTCTGCTGCAAATACAGCAGGAGAACCCCTGGTTCTTTGTTGGATAATCTAGTATTTCATTACTCTTATTTTACTACTTAGTTGACCCACATTTATAAAAAAAATCAAATAAACTTCTGCGAAAATAATAGACAAGCTCCCCTTTGCTATTGGTTTTCTTCTTTTTCTCCAGTATAACTATTACTTGCATTCACCTAGGCAACATTTGCATCTGAGTTACATAAAATCAAGTAAGGTCTCTGTCTTCCCCTTCAGCATTTGTACTTTCCATCTCTTGTCATTTTTGCCAGTTAGCTGGTTTTAGGTAAAACCTTCGAGCTGACCATTTCGCTCATAGAATCCTACAGATTAGGGGAGATATTTAGAGATCAGGTTCATAACAAAAACCATGAATTTAATTCATTTTGATTTTGTTGAATGTTAGGCAAATTTATAAGCAACTGGTTCTTTTTTTAATGACCCTGGAACTTCAATGTTGATGCGATTTCCTTTCCAAAGTCCTTGGCATTGTCAGATGGCTCAGCATCAGAAACTGATGTGATTGGATCAGTGGAAATGGTGTTGGAGAAGAGGCCTTGCCATCTACTTTGTTGCTGCGCCCTAAGGACCATGTGCAGCTCATACCCTCCATGTTCATTGCCTTACCCCATTTGCATGTGAGCTCCTGGTGGGCAGGCCCTGGCTCACTTTTCTATATATACCCCATGCTTGCTGTACTAGGCACGGGGTAGGCATTTAAATGTTGTTTTTTTTTTCTCTCCCTTTGGTTCTTCAGGGGATTTTACTGACAGAAGCTGAAGATAAGCTTCTCATGCTAATAGAAAATGCAGAGTCATCCATCTGCAAGAGAATAATTCAGTTTAGCCCTGTAGAATTAGAGATTATGATTGAGGTCAAGCTCCAGCTAGCCGCTATTGCGATGCAGAGGCAACAAGCGCCTTACAGGTAAGCGCCCTTCGACAAGATGATAATTACTTTATTTTAGCTCAGTTCAATAAATGTTTTGGTACCTACTATGTGCAAACATTGAGGATACAAGGCATAAGCAAAGCAGCCCCTGACCTTGAAGAGCTTATGTCCAACAGGGGAGAAGCAGCAAATATGTAAGCAAGATAAGAAAATCAGTTACAGAAGGGAGAGAGAAAGATTGAGGTGATCTGAGAGGCTTCACAGAGAAGGTATAACCTGAGATGGTCCCAGAAGGAAAGAAGAGGTGGCTATAAGGAGAGAGTATATTCCCAGGCTGGGGTGATGGCCTAAGCGAAGGTATGGTGGTACGGGAGTTGGAGGTTCAGGGAATGTGTGAAAGAGAATATTGTGAACTATCACTGAAAAGTAGCAGGCTTTATAAAGCCTTCAATGCTAGGCTGAAGGGGTCATGGTGGATTTATTTTTTTCAATTCTAGGGGTAATAGGGAGCCATTGAAAGCTTTGGAGTAGAGGAGTGATATGGTCAAATATATGCCTTAATAAGGTTACTAAGAGGAGGAGTGGTTGGAAAGGGGAGAGGCTAGCATCAGGGAAAGCAATGAGAAAACTATTACCATAGTCCAGGTGATGGGTGATAAGGATTGAAGGAGGATGGGGTCATGTGAGTAGAGAAAAGGGGACAGATAAAAGAGATTTCATGGAGGTAGAATCAACAAGAAATGTCAACTATTTGGATATGGGAGGCAAAAAAGAGGATCTGATTGAAGCTAATATTGAAGTTATAAACTTGTTTGACTAGGAGGATGATGGTGTGGTATCCTCAAGGGAAATTAATAAAAGACAAATGAGTTATTGTGTTGATATGTTGAGTTTGAGAAGCCAATGGAATATTCAGGTGGAGCTGTCAGTGAGGAAGTTGGTGATTGAGGGCAGGATATACAGAGAAATGAGAGTAGGATATACAGATCTGATAGTCGTCTGCATAAGTAATGGAAATTGAACCATTATTATTAAAGAGATGGTTAATGAACAAAGTGGTGATCCTCAAGAGACAGTATGGTTTCATCAAGAATAGGCCATGCCCCAGTAACTTTATTCTTTTGTTGACAGGGCTACTAAGCTGATAAATCAAAGGAATGATATAGATTGTAGCAAATGTTTGATAAAATATTTCAATCAATCAATAAACATTTATTAAGTGCCTCCTACATGCCAGGCACTGTGCTAAGTGCCAGGGATACAGAAAGAAGCAAAAGACAGTTAAAAGACAGTCCCTGCCCTCTAGGAGCTTGCAATCTAATGGGGGAGACAACATGCAAACAAATATATACAAACAAACTATATATGGGATAAATAGGAAATAATTAAGAGAGAAATGCTAGAATTAGGAGGATTTAGGGAAGGCTTCCTGTAGAAGGTGGGGTTTTTGTTGGCACTTAAAAGAAATCAGGGAAGTCATTAGAGCAGAGGAAAGTGTGCCTAGTGTGAGGGACAGCCCTAGAGAATGTCCAGAGCCAAGAGATGGAGGGTTTTGTTCATGGCACTGCCAAGGCCAGTGTCACTGGACTGAAGGGTATGTGGTGGGGAGTAAGGTGTAAGAAGACTGGAAAAGCAATAAGGGGCTAGATTGTGAAGGGCTCTGAATGCCAAATGAGCATTTTACATTGGATTCTGGAGGCCCTAGCGAGCCATGGGAGGTTATTGAGTAAGAGAGTGACATGAATAGCATCTATATAGCACCTACTATGTGCCAGGCACTGTGCTAAGTGCTTTACAAACATAGGAGGCAGGTGCTATTATTATTCCCATTTTGCAGTAGAGGATTCTGAAGCAAACAGAAATTAAATGACTTGCTCAAGGTTGCACAGCGAATAAGAGTCTGAGACTGGATTTGAACTCAGGTCTTCCTGACTCTAGGCCCAGCACTCCATCCACTGAGCCATCTTGCTGCTGTTATCAGCCTGTTATTGTGAAAACAGATGGAGTGATGTGGGCTAGAACCTTGATAACAGATGGATTCAAGACTGGCTGAGTGGCTGAGCTCAAGTAGTCAGCAGTGGCTTGGGGCCACCTTAGAAGCAGGTCTATCAGGGAGACTGGCGCTGCTTCATGTTTTTCTCCATTACTTGGAGAATGGCTTGGGTGGCATCCTGGTTAGAACTGCAGGTTGCTCAAAGCTGGGTGACAGAGTAAGGATCCAAAATGTCTTGACAGGCTAGACTAGGTCTAAAGGGCCTCAAAGACCTTCTAGTCTGACTGTCATTTTATAGATAAGGAAGAAGCCTAGAAGCCTAAGAGATTTGCCCAAGGTCATCTAAACAGTACATTTCTCTTTGATTCATTTTCTTTCTTTTTTTGGGGGGGGCGCTAGGCAATGGGGTTAAGTGACTTGCCCAGGGTCACACAGCTAGTAAGTGTTATGGGTCTGAGGTCATATTTGAACTCGGGTCCTCCTGACTCCAGGGCCGGTGCTCTATCCACTGTGCCACCTAGCTGCCCCTAAACAGTATATTTCTAAGGTAAAATTTGAACCCGTGTTCTCTCTCACTCTATGGTACTCTTCATAATACCACACTGCCTCTCTGGAATATGCAGCTCAGTAGGGATAAATGTAAACTCTTCTTCCTGAGTTAAAAAAAAAAGTCAGTCTCACAAATCCAGAATGGGAGAAAGATGGTTGGACAATAGTGTGTGAAAAAGATCTGGGGGTTTTAGCGGATTGCAAGTTCAATCTAAGTCATCAGTAGGATGTGATCACCAACAAAGCTAAGGTGACTTTTGGCATGTTCAAGGCCAACTCTTCCCAGAATAAAGAGGGAGCAGTCCATTTATACTCTGACCAGGTCAGACAGCGTCTCAGTCAATCAGTAAACACTTATGAAATGCCTACCATGCATCAAGCTCTGTACAAAGCACTCATGGTTCAGAAAGAGGCAAAACACAGTCCCTGCCCTCAAGGAGCTTACAATCTAAGGGAGAAGCTCATATTATGTTCAGTTCTTGGCACAATGGGTTGAAGAATGACACCAAGAGTGGTGAAGGCCTTTGATCACATGCCATGTAAAGATCAGTTGAAGAAAAGAGAATTATTATTATCCTAGAGAAGACCTAGGACAATTGTGATCACCTTGTTCAAGTTCTTGAAAGGGCACCATATAGAAGGTGAGAGACTTGAGTAGTTCTGCTTCACCCCAGAAGGCAGGACTGGGAGCCACTGGTAGGCTATGCAGGCACGTTTGGGCTTAATGTAAGAAAAAACTCCCCCACAGCTAGGTACTCTTGACAAGCCCAATGGGTCTCCCCTCTAGCAAAGGCCAGATGGCTGTGTGTCAGGATTGTCATGGTAGGAATTCTTGCTCATGGAACTGGTTGGACTAGATGCACTGAGGTCCCTTCCTGTGTGGAGATTCTGTGATGTGTTTGTGAGATTCTGTGATTCTGTGAGTGTGGCAGAGGGCGAGCCTACATCCTAACATGGTCAGGGATGAAGCATCCTTGGAATGCTTCCCAAGGTGGCACAGGCACTCAACACCCGGCCTCAGTGTCCCCAGAAGCACACAGATCTTCTGGCATATCTGACACCATCCTTCCCAGGCCCTTTGGGGGCCCCAGATCACCGACTCCTGGTGCCTCTCAGTCCCTTGGGTGGCCTCAATCCCCTTACAGTGCTTCCGACTTCCCAAGGAACAGAAACTGAATCTCAAATCCAGAAAGTCATTTAAAATACTTTTAAGGTATTCTCCTCCCCCCTCCCTAATTTGTAAAATGACTTAAATTTTACATCTGTATGGAAATTCCTGGGTCCCAAAAGCCTGCTGATTTTATAATATCAGGGGGTTTTATCAGATATGGCTAAATTTAAAGGGACAGCTATTAAACCCTAGTAACTGCTTTATTGTAGCATATTGCTGGCAGATTTCCTCTTCCTCTGTAAAGAACACACAAGTTAATTTGAGCTCTGTTTTGTTTTTAAGCAGGAGACAAACTTAGAAGTAACTTTTTGCTTACCCCAAAACAGCACATATGGATTTTTTTACTGATTACATCCATATGATAATTTTTAAAAAAGTGTTCTAAAAACATAACAACTTCTGAACAATGTTATATACTAAGCCTCTCAGGGGGAAGAGAGGGCCAGAGATGATTGCAGTTGGCTGAGTCAGTGATGCCGCTGCAGCTGGTGGTGTCAGATTCTGACAAGGTTCTTATTTTCTCCCCCTGCTCCCCTTAATTCCATGATCTTGTTTTTGTTACATTTAAAGTTGTCAAGGTACATTTTCCAGAGGCCCCCACATCATCTTGACTGGCATGTTTAGCAAAGCAATGATATACTAATACCCCCTTAGTGGCATGGCTTTTAGTATTGCTGGACCACGGTAGAGTTGGAGACCGACCCTTTCTTCTCTATGGCCAGCTAATGAGAAATAGACCCTTACCCTGGAATTAGAGCTCATCGGAAATTTGCTTTTGAGAAGTACACATAATAAGCTAATCATGACGTTTATAAAGTAGGTGAAATTGATTAAGCATATTTTATTTAGTTCTGTAATAATATGAGTCTTTTAATAACATTTTTTTCAGGACACTTCTCTATGTCTGCTTTCAGAGTAGACACATGTAGTTGGAAATTTAGTGTTATAAGGAAAAGCTTACCCTTTTAGAAATCTCCCTTGAGAAAAGGCTCCAGGGTCGGGCCCCAACAGCTGCAGCAGCCACAGGGCTCTTAAGGCCGGGCCCAGGAGGGAAGGGGCAGTGGAAGTCAGCTCTGCATAGATGGGCAGTGCTCGACCCAGCCTAGGGCAACAGAGCTCAAGGCACAGTAGTGGCAGTTGGTCACTACTGGCCCTGGTGAAAGGGGATAGACATCAATTGGCAGAGCAGGCAGCATCAGCATGGGTCGCAGACACAGTGGTCAGTGGCAAAGACAGACCCACAGCTGGCCTTTGCTTACTCTACTCTAGACCTGATGAGTCCCTCTACATTACTGGCAGTGTAACACTTTCCCCAGGGATGGC